TAAAGATATCATTTATACCTTTGTATCAAGATGTGTAGAAAGTATTGCAGTGTGCTAGTGTGCATTTGTTCAAGTTTCTATAGTTAATGAAGGAAGCCGCAGCTTGATTCTAAAGATTTACTGTAAAGGGTAATAATGATATAAAATTCTTCTGGCTCAGTTGTGATTTTTTAAAAATTGATGTGCGGATTTATAGCGTTATCTATTGTGGTCAATTCACAAAAGGTTTTTACCTAACAAATGCTGTATTGAACAGGCAAAGCTGTACAATGTACTTACTGTCTTACCTCAGGTAATTTAATGGCTAAAGTATTTAATATGGGACAGGAAAGACCTTGCAATTTAAGTTCATTCTCAGCTAGAAAAGCTTGCTGGGTGATCCTGAGCCAGGTAATGAATTTAAGGATAATAACAAAGTGGTCAACATTTGTTTGGTTGAGGGTTTGTTTCCAGCAGAGGAAAGTGGTTGAGTATATGCATGTTTGGGTAAAAGCCCGTTTTTTTCCTTGTTCTCTCCTTTCTCATGTATACAGTTGTGTTTTACCTTGTTTACTTTTTTCCCATTATGGGAGGTGCCAGGGCTATATACAAATACATCTGCTCTAATGTGGTTTGGAACAGTATGGGAGGTCACGTAAAATTGGAGAATTGTTTGGTTTCTTCCCCAGAAAATTGCATCTCTTCATTCCAACCGGAATCCTTTCTAATTAAAGATCCTTCTGAAAATTGATAGGGCCGCTGATAAATAAATAATCCCTCACATATTAAAATGAATCGAACCCCCCAGTAATGCAATGGGTTAAACCCTTGTGCTGGCAGGACTGAAGACCAACAGGTTGGAGGTTCGAATCCGAGGAGAGTACGGATGAGCTCCATCTGTCAGCTTCACATGCAAGAGGGGAAGCCTCCCACAAGGATGGTAAAACATCAAACATCCAGGCATCCTCAGGGCAGCATCCTTGCAGATAGCCAATTGTCTCACACCAGAAGCAACTTGCAGTTTCTCAAGTCGCTTCCTGTCACGAAAAAAAGTTAAAATGCATTTAAGAAAATGCACTGTTAATATTGTTAATACCTACAACACTTTTAATCGTATACTTGTAAATCCTTAGCATAAAGCCATGACTTTAGTTCACTTATGAAATCCAGAAAAAGTAGGGGAATTGTATACAAGCATAATTATACAAGGCTTATGTGCCTTTACATGTCTTGTTACAAGTTGCCTCTGCTTTATACCTTTTTTCCTCTATGTGTGATAAAAATGATTGGATTGGCTCAATGCAGTACAAGATGACATGTTCAATGAGATAGCAGTGCATAAGCATTTCAAAAAAGGGTGATTTTACGAGAAATACTTTTACACTCCGAATTCTGTAGTTAGTGTTAAATACTGTTCAAGTCTTCGAGGGTTTCTCCTTGTCAGATGTTTCTTCCACAGTTTATCCTGGAATAATACTCAGTAAAATATTTACCCGTACTCCAGAAAGCTTTCTATGTAGCCACTGAATTAAGAAGGAAAGATCTTTTAGTACTATGCATGTGGCATTGTATCCTGGGAGGTACCTTTTCATATTATGAGATGGTGTATGTTATTGCTATTATTAATAAAGACTAGTATCCAGATAGTAAGCTTGATTCAAGTTAGAGATACCACATACAGAATTTAATATTTGATCATATCACATGCTTTTAAAAAGACTCATTGCAGTTTGAACAGCTGTTTGTCATCACACGGCATTACAAGGTCTCCTTAAAAAAACAGAAACATTCCTTGCATTTGATACTTTAATGTTTTGGTGTGTTTTATTTTAGCTACTTTGCAGCCCTACTGGATGGGACAACGTGAATGGAATAACTGTGATTAGGGGAAGGGAGGGCAGACTTAAACATTATTCTCACCAAGTTTTGAGTAACCACGCTTTGTGTCTTGGCATTTCAGCAGATGAGGAGGAGGAATTTAATCTTTTCATCCCCTGCTGCCTCTCAGGGATTTGGAGGGGGACTTAGCCTCATAAATTCTTGATCGTGTTTGAGGTCTCAGATGTATATCAGCCCAGATGAGCAGATATAAACCAAAAGAGAGTGGCACAAATACATTAACTCAAATTGGCAATATATTTCCTGAGCTAAATGCATTTTGTTGGGTTACATCCCTGGACTGCACAAGTCTCTTGTGTCGTCAAGTTTCCAGACCTCAATGAGTAGATAGACTAGGGATAGAATTAGGCTGAGGGGTTTCATCCCCCACATTCCTATGCATGTTTCCCAAATGAGCTTTGTCTTTACTCTTCGTACTAGTCACTGGCTTCTCCCCTTTGATGATGTAGCAATGGAATTCTGTGAGGGAACTTCCCTTTTAAAGGTATTTTTATTGCCCTGGGGTTGACTATGTAGTCTGTACCATTTTCCAGTCTCTTGTGATTTTCATTCTACCTATGAGATTGCACATTTTGCTTCTCTCTAGGCAAAATGTAGCTGCATGGACTTTTTGTCCTTTTACCTCTTTAGAAGATGAGACTTAGTAAGTTAGTTATCTCCAAGACCTTTTCTATCAAGAATGTATTTCTTTTACTTCAATAAATATTTTTGAACCTAAAGTTCTGACTCTGCAATCCTGATCCATCCTAAGATATAGAAGGCTATCCCAGTTTCGCCACACATAGGTTTTGCTGGTTATGAAGTTTACATCTGGTACTATGCTATATTTATGGTGGAATCACACCCAACTGAGCATTATTTTGAGCCTAACAGCTCAGATTCCCCAACAATTTTACTATGCATTAAAGAACATATACTTTCAGACAAAGGACAACATTCCCATGCAAGCATATCTGGACACCAGTCTCACTGTCCAAAGCTAAACCTACTACTGAGTAGGGTGCATAATATTGGGTGTGAGTTTCCAGAACTCTGCAGAAGCCCCTCCTCCCATGTAGATAATGGGTGCAATACAGTGAGATCTTGATATCTGCTTGAGTTTGGTTTCAGGTCTCCCCTGGATACCAATATCTATGGATGTTCAAGTCCTATTATATATAATGGAAAAGTAACATGGTTCTCACTACATCAAATGGCAACATTGAGGCCTGCCTTTTGGATTTTTTTTAAAATGTTCATGACATTGAATCTGTGAATACAGAATCTGTGGATATAGAAGATCAAGTCTGTGTTTCATTTTTAGAAGCGAAATTCCAATCTCTAAACAGTTTAATAATTTCAGATAGAACAGTTTACAAAGCTGAAATACGTTAGAAACAGAGCAGCCATTTAGGATCATTGTTATGGGCTCAGTTAATAATCTGAATCAAACAAAGAATGAGATTGCATGTATTGTAGTGCTAAAGATTGCTGGCCACTGGTATGAAGCCATAATAGAAGCAGTAAGATATTGTGTGGCTAAAACTTTTCACTATGGTATTTTAACATAAAAGATCTTCAACCTTCTTATATTCAAAAGAGGATGCTAAATTCACTTTAAGGAGATTATGTGTTTGCTTTCCAGTTCTGAGAGCCAGTATAATGTAATGGTTTGAGTGTTGGACTAGAACCCTGGGATACCAGGGTTCAAATAGTCAGTCAAGGAAAACGAGCAAACCCCCTTTGGACAAATTCTGGCAACCCCCTGTGATATGTTGATATTAGGGTCACCATAAGTCAGAAATGACTTGAAGGCACGCACGAAAAAAACCTCCAAGTTTTGAGCTAATTTTACTTTTTTTTAAAGGAGATGTAATTGACACTTAAAATTAATGTTGATATTACACGAAGATTTAAATAAAAATCCAATTACAGTGTGACTTGCCGAAGGTCATCCAGTGCATTTCCATGGCTGAGCGGGGATTCAAACCCTGATTTCCTGAGTTGTACCACAGTGCTCACATTTTGACATTAACTTGGCTCTTCAAGGATTTATGTACACTATAGAAGGAATGCAGTTTGACACCACTTTAAGTGCCATGGCTCAATACTACGGAATCATGAGAGTTGTAATTTTACAAGATCTTTCAAAAAATGCTGGGGCCTCGCCAAAGTACGTGATTCCAAAGCATTAAGACATGACAATTAAAGTATTAATTTGCATTAATTCTACAGTCAGATGAACCCCTGGAATCCTCTTCTAGAGTCCCCCCATAAATTACTGCAGTAGAAAAGATTTAAGACTTGCCTTCTAAAAGTGTATTTTGTTTATCTGACAAATGATGAGAAGCGATTTATATAGATTATAATTTAAATCACTATTCTTTTGGTATACTAAACCAGTCAGCGTTTAGTAGAAATGTGACATTTCAAAGTAAACATGTGACTTTCTTCATAAACCAAACACGTTGAATTCTGATTTCCACAATGGTCATTTTGAGAGCCAGTGTGCTATCGCACTTAAAATCTTGGCCTAAGATAAGAAGATGTTGTTTCAAATCCTGACTTGACCATGGTATTCACTGGATGACCTTTGGCCAGTTTCCAGCTCTGAGTCTAAAGTATTTTGCAGCATTGTCATGAGGATAAACATGGGGATCTCTATACATTGGCTGGTATCCTTAAAGGAAAGATGTGATAGAAATGTAACAAATGTTTCAATAATTATGCAACCGAAGAGTTTCTATATATCATTGTATGCCGCTCTCCCCAGTTGCTATCATACCCTGCACGGAGAAAGAAGGATAGGGGAGATGGAGGATTATGAGGAAAGGACACAAATGCAAAGGACTCTTGTCAACTTGCTCATCTTTTCTGATTATATTGGTCATTATTGCACGGAGGCTTAGTGGGAATGGTCATTTAGCCATGACAGTTTCTGGCTTGTCTGATAAAGTGGCAGGTGTTACTAATGTTCCAGTTTAGGTTTGAAGGCAGTTCTTCAAACTCTCAAATAATTCCCTCTCTTTTAAACAAGGGCAATAGAAATCTTACCCTGGTGCCAATTGTATTTATTTGTTACTTTTTAAGAATTTGCTTCCTAGGAATCTCCTTGTAATGTTCTTTCACTGTTTGTTTTATAGGATTCTGAGCAACAATAAGATATCAGGATTGAAGAATGGTTCTTTTTCTGGATTAAGTCTTCTTGAACGATTGTAAGTCCTTCTTTAATTATCTGTTGTTTAATCTCAGAATCCTGACTACATTTCTGTCCTTTTGGTTACATTTCTTATTATTACTTCCATTCGCAGATTTAACAAATGTTCATGTTATAGTGGTAAGTTCCCCAAAAACAATGTCCACTGCAAGTGAAGGAAGGGCATTCAAAAATACAGGCATTGCCAGACCTTTGTACCTCAAGCCTGTAGAAACTGAGAAGATAGACTTAATCCACTACTTTGGGAGTAGGCCCTGGGCATACTTGATCACACAGCAGATAATAGATCTGTGCATGCAGATTCTACACATTCCTCTGCCTGCCTTCCAGGTCCACCTCCTGCTTTGTTGGTTTTGACACCTTCCACACATTGGTCCATTTGGCTTTGAAATATTCTTTGGCTGAAGTCACTGCCACTCCCATCAAAACCTAGACTGTTTGCAGACAGGCCAGTTTCAGAGCCAGATCCTACTTGTTTCTCAGCACTCTTTTGGCTGGAGCTGTGGCTCTTCAATACTACGGCTGATTACGTTCCTCGGGCCTTTCATCCCAAGCTGAGGCAACAATTGAAGACTTGCCTTTTAACAAAGTAGACTCTTTAATGCTGAGACAGACAGCATGTTAGAACACACATCAAGTTAGAAATGTTTCTCTTGTGCCTTTAGCTAGCATTGTAGTTCTTTTTGTAGATCCACAGAATTTCTAACCAAGTACTTTATATTTATTTCAATCTCGGAAATCTGCATTTCCAATTCAAGACAAAAATGAATGATTGTCACTGAGCTGTAATGCGCAACACAAGAGCAATTCTAGAGACTTGGTTTCAAACCTGCGTTCACCCATAGAAAGCTCAGAGGAAGGCAAAGACAACCACACCCCCTCCATGGTAGATTCTCTTTAGAGTTGTCATAAGTCAGAAATGCTATAAAGGCACACAACAACAAATGAGCAACATAGGCAAATTTTAAATAATGCTCAGAGCAAGGTGCCATTCTGAATTATGCCCTTGAATCGAAGTGACAAACTGGCTGAAAAGGGCAACAGGAAACTTCTATGACACAGGCATCAAAAACTCATCCCACGGATGACAAACTGTATTTAACTGAATGATGATTGTGTGAAAAATTAATGCAATACCTATGCTACAAACTGTTTAAGTTTTATTAAAATACATTCATTCTTTCTATTTTAAAGAAATCTTTATAATCTTACTTTCCAGATAACAATAATATTAACTATGCTACCTCTGCTTCCACTCTTACTGCATACTAAATTTCTATATGTTATGATATCACAAAAAAATTAACAGCAACTTTTACTATTATTGCTCAACTGAACATGGAAACATTAAAATTTTCTTTTTCTTTACATACAAGATTGCACAGCTTTATTTTATAAGTAGTACTTCTCTTTTTAACGACTGCAGAGGTCACCCTTAGTAAGCAGATGATCTTTGATTAATGAGCCATGGAAGGTCAAGACTAGCCTAAAGCATTTTTGCCAAATGCCAAGATTCAAATAACATCTGACCTTAGAGAATTATGTTTTTGAATTAAATGCTGAAGAAAGCAAAGAGCTAGGCAATTGTACTAGTTAGAAAATTTTATAAAGCAGGTTTGTATACCACTAATATACCCGGCTTTCTATGTTCACATTTTCACACTGTATTAAAGCTTTCTTGTTTTTCTAATTAAAGTTCATCAGCTAAAATATGAAGGTGGTGATCTGAAAAGCTTCCCAAGCTTCCCAGCAGCTGAAATCTTGCTGCTGAAAATGTTTATGGTACTTACAGTTCAATGCATAGGTCGATGATACAGCAATTGTTCATAACATCCCTATTTCTTTGTAATAGATTGAAGGTTCTTTGCCTTACACTTGCCAATTTGTATATATTTAGTATTTCCCTTTTTGGTCACCCAGATTTCAAGGTTACAGACAGTATAATAGTTTAGCAGGAGCATCAACACCCGTGTCCCCCTTAAGAATAATGTTAAGTTTTATCTTTTCAGAAAATATATATTAAAGAACAATAAACACTCAATTCTGTATTTGTATTCCTGTATTTGTTTATTATATAAAACAGTCCACTCATGCAGTCACACGTCTCTTATGGAGATCTGTCAGACTTCTCATATTCAATTCACAATCTAGTACATCTCCTTACATGGCAGTTTTATAGTCTAGCGATATGTTTTTCTTTCAAGTCACATTTGCAATACTTTTCAGCATGTTTCAGTATATTCAGATACACTGAATTATTTCAACACATATCTTTTACAAACAGGCAGTCTCCAAGTTACAAACAAGATAGGTTCTGTAGGTTTGTTCTTAAGTTGAATTTGTATGTAAGTCAGAACAGGTGCATTTTTAAGTGCAACTCCATCCCCTCTCTCTATATATAGCTTTGGATAGCATGGAGACTATTTTGATTTCCCTACTTTCATAGCCTCTATTTATCTCAGTGCTTCTCATTTTATAAAAAACTGAGAATCGCTTTCTTTTGTTCTCTTTTCCTTTGGAACTTCAGAAATCATTCTCTCTGTTTCTGGCATCTTTGGGGGATTCATAACATGACATTTCAAACTTCTCATTTCAGTATTTTGTATGAAACTCATTTGTTTACACAGGTGGCCAGGTTGGCAGTGTTCCCGGACATTCAAAGGAAGTGATTCTTAAATCCCATTTCTTTGGGCTGTCAGTTTTGCGCGTTCCCCAGACTCCGGTCTCTTAGGAAAGAGACCACAGTTTTAGAACCCCTGAACTAAGAGGAGGCTTAACCTGAATTATACTTCAAGGAGTCGCTTGATATGGGCTAAATATAAAATTCATATTTTTTTTTTTGTAATGGGGCGAGAACACACTACAGGGTTAGACTAAAAGTATTTAAAAGGTTAAGATAGATAATCCATTTTATTCTCTATTGTTGATAACAAATGTGTCAGTAGAATTATTATATTTAGTATACCGCCTAACAAGTTGGAATTCTGATCCTAAAGAGTTTCACAGTGTTCGTGATTTGATGCAATTTACTGCCCAAGGGAGCAATTCAAGAAATTCCTGGTTTGAATCTTGCCTGTGAAATCTCATTTTGTCAGTCATTTACCTCAGCCTTAGGTCCTTCATCTGCATTGTAGGGATTATAGTATTGACACATAGCCTTTTCCAGGATTTTATATGATAACAAGTCTTGCATAATACTGATGGCAAACCTTGTTGAGAGCTTTGTATGTCAGCAGTGAGATTTTGAGCACAATTCAATAATTCACAGGTAGCTAGTGTAATTACTCCAGCACCGGGAAATGTGTATGGCTCAGCACTATACTCAACATTCCTGCAGCTGAATTCTACAACTTCCAAGCAAAGGGAAAAAGAAACCCTATACATAAGACTTGTTACGATAATCTTAAGTATTAGGTAAACAGTTTACAGATTAGTGGCCAGACAGTCCTTGTCGAAGAAAAGACTTACTTGGCATATCAGACAAAACTGGAAATAGGTGCTCCTCACCACAGAGAATACTTGACCCTCTCATAACAATGGTGAACCCAATAACATCTTCAAACTATATCTGTTCCTTGTGAGTGCAGTCCCATCAAAACAGAGATATCCTGCCCCAATTCCTGCACAAGAGAGTGAAAAAAATGTCGATTGGGGGAATCTACATTTTTTCAAGATTCAATCTTTGTTGGCCTTCATTCAGCCTTTTACCAGGTCTGAACATGCACAGCCTTTCCTGTTCTAACTAGAGATGGCTGTTATAAAGGAATCAAGCCCACCAATTATAAAACACAATGGAGGACTGAGGCGAGGCAGAATTTGCTTCAGGCATACTCACACACAAAATGGAGGATAAAAAGCAAACAAGACTTGACCCAAGGTGAGGCCGTGAGGGAGCACATGCACACCTTCACTCACAGCAAGCCAAACAGTGGGGGGACCTCTGCTGTATATTTTTATTTTGCCTTTGCTCTTTCCAAGTATTTATTAAAGATTACTTTTGCTGCCAGCACCATATTAGTTTCTTAGGCTACCTCCTTTACTGGGATGTTCAGTTGGAATAAAACAGGAAATTTTTGTTTATTTTGAACTGTCAGTAAGCTTAATGGTTGCAGATAACTTGTCAGGCTTTTCTTCAATACAGAGGATAGTATTTATATCTTAAGTTTCTTTAGAACAAAGTTCCAGACATAGAAATTCAAACAGGAATACTTTAAAACCTTTTGAATTCTCCCTTCCTTCCTGCACAGCACTCTAACGCTATAGAGGCTTATTAACTATTATTCCTCAAAGAGGTATCTTTCCTTTTAAAAGGAGTTCCCAAATCTCTTCCTTCCCTTCAGACTCCTAGCTCTTCCTTCTTCACCAAAACCCTAACTTCCTTCTTTCTCCATCCCAATCTCCTAACTCATCTTAAAATGGCAGCTGTCTTCTTCCCTGTTCCTCAGGCTCCGCCCATCTCCAGCTACTGAGCTTTTCCCTCCAATTTTGTTCACTTCTGCCTAAGAGACTGCCTGATTGCTCTACCCCTAAGCTCTACTTATCTTTGCAAACTGGGACTGGCTTCTGCCTTTATACATCAACCCTTTACACACCAATCCTTCATACACCAACCCTTCAGGGTAGGCCAATCCATTACAACTGTCATCTACATCCTGGTTACACCTCATCTTACCTCTCTGAATGATTATCCTCAAAGGCTTCACATAGATGGATAAATTGCACCCTGCAGCATTGTACTCTCCCAGTGCTACTGCCCAGTAAAGTAGGAGCAGAATTTATATAAAACAGACACTAACATTGTAGAAAGAATCCAGAAGAATGCCAGTTCAGTAATATAGTACTACGTAGTCAAGCAGAATCAACATGGTCACATTTCTCCCGCAAGAGCCCTGTCACCACGTGGTTCTTTCTCAGAACTAAGCTGGTCAAGTAATTGGTGATCTGGAGCCCCCGGTAGCGCAGTGGGTTAAACCCCTGTGCCAGCAGGACTGAAGACCTACAGGTCGCAGGTTCAAATCTGGGGAGAGGCGAATGAACTCCCTCTATCAGCTCCAGCTCCTCACGCGGGGGACATGAGAGAAGCCTCCCACAAGGATGATAAAACATCAGATCATCCAGGTGTCCCCTGGGCAACGTCCTTGCAGACAGCCAATTCTCTCATACCAGGAGTCACTCCTGACACAACAAAAAAAAAAATTATTGGTGATCTAACTACACAGCCACCATCCTTTCAAACAATGAGAAAAGGGGCATTAGTGGCTTGGCACTAGTTGGGATATACTTCCAGATCCACAAATTGGATTTTCAGGAGTACAATTTGTGACAGTAGAAACATTTCCATTATGCAGAAGAATCCAGTTTTTCATGGCCTCAGTTTTTCATCCACTATTGTGTTCACTCCCAGGGTGGTTTGAATAAGCCACGATGAAAACATGACAGTGTATATGATAGCTGTAAATTGAAATGTTTCTTGTATTAAATTTAGTGCATGATCTTTTTCTGAATACATAATATTAGCATGTTACTTTTATGTTGGTCCAAATAATACACAATGCATTTTATATTCCTAAACAAAGTGAAATACAATCTACTGTAATTGTTTCTGATAATGTGGTTTGTTTTTGTTATTTTGTTTTCTGGAAAGTAATTTATTTTAAAAAAATTGCTTCTCCTTTCCAGATTTCAGAGAGATAAGAACAAGTATAAGTAAACAAGTATAAGTAGCTACTTCTGTTCAACATTTTGGAAAAAATTCAAACATTGAAAGAGGATAATTTCTACTGTGTTTACCTGTTAAGTAGAGTCAGTGAGTGCTCCAGAGCTTTCCTGAAGTTCTAGAGCTGCTCTGTACTTTGATGTGTTTGTGTTTATTAATGGTAAGCCAAGATGAGTCCCAATTTTGTAAGAAAGTCAGGATATATAAATATGAAAACAAAAACAACTGCTTGAAAAGGGTGGTAGGATTACAGAAAAATTGTGATGGGAATTTTCTTCCAGATTCTTTTATAGTTATCCAGTTTGTACATTCAGTTTTAAGATTGCTTTTTAAATTATAAAACTTTGTCCTTTTTTAAAACAGGGATCTCAAGAACAATCTTATTAGTGTTATAGATCCGGGAGCTTTTATGGGACTGACATCTCTAAAAAGACTGTAAGTATTTCTTCTTGAGAACTTTGAATGAAGTGCAATGTCAGGAGGTAGCAGTTCTAGCCTGCATTTTTAAAAACCCTTAAGTTTTTTACAGTGTCTCCTTGGCATTGCTTCGTGCTAGCATGACTTTTGTGTTTTGAAATACTGTATACAGATTTTGTAACCTATCCTTTTTGGGTTTTTTTTTAAAAAAAATCTGAAGAATGTGCAGAAAAGGTCAGCTAATGTGTTGTTGAAGGCTTTCATGCCCGGAATCACTGGGTTGCTGTGAGTTTTCCGGGTTGTATGGCCATATTTCATAAGCATTCTCTCCTGACATTTTACCCACTTCTATGGCAGGAATCCTCAGAGGTCATGAGGTCTGCTGGAAACTAGACAAGTGAGGTTTATATATCTGTGCAATGTCTAGGGTTCTTAGTTTCCAACAGATCCCTCCATCTCTGAGGATGCCTTCCATAGATGTGGGCAAAACGTCAGGAGAAATAATGCTTCTGGGACATGGCAACACAGCCCAGAAAACTCACAGCAACCCAAGGTCAACTAATATTAGAGAGTTGCTGTATTATGCTTAGAAAGAGGACTTAAAAGCTTAAGCAACAAACAAGTAGTGACTTTTTCTGATAATACTGTGCTCCATCTCTCTATTCAAGAAGATTTTATGAAGTAGTCTTTTTAAGACTTTACAACCCATATATAGTAATCAACCCTAACGAGAGTAGGCTCATTGAATTGTTGGGACTTACACAAAATGGCAGGGAGGGGGATGTTATGAGACTATTATGCAATGAAATATGGTACTTTTAACTATTTTTTTATGTTGGTTAGAATTATAGCATATGTACTCACCTTACTTGGTGATTAAATTTGATTGCTACTATTTATTTTGTTTTTTAAATTGGCTTGAATTAAATTACTTTTATCAGTTTATCGATGTGCAGTCTAGTCTGATAAGTATTCATAACAGCCAGTATCCTATATCAGCTACTTAGTTAACACATATTGTAACTAAGTAACCTCTTCTGGCCTGACCCCCTCAAATCTGGCATAAATGCTCTTTACTTATATTCTGATTATTGCCAAAATGGACTTCTTTCTTCCCATGCAGCAGATAACAATGTCGGTTGGAGGGGAGTTTCAATCATAACAATAGTGTCACACATATGATTAATTTACAATCCTGAATAAGGAACAATTATGAATGCGTAAATCTAGGCAATTGTTTTATATTCATGATCACTGCTTAGTCATGATTGTGATGCCACTACCACAATCATATCTCTACCTCATTTATTAGACATTCTCTGCAATGGGAGAAGAAGGTCCATTCTGTCAGCAGTCAGCACATGGATGAGTAACATTTCCATCAAGTGTGGAAGAAAAAGGGGCCAATAGAAGTTACTTAGTATACTTAACTAAGTGAAGTATGCTAAATATATTGTATGGTGAAGCACTTTTTTTGTTTTTCCTCACTAATAGAGATTTGGCAAACAACCAAATAGGATGCCTGAATGTGGATATGTTTAAAGGACTTGCTAATCTGGTCAGATTGTAAGTATGACTACATTAAAATATAATTCTGGTGTACACCATGAAATTTAAGTGTTTTCTCTTTACTGAATCCTTTTGCTAAGCTATGGGGCAGTCTATCGATTAGATTGGATTATCCCAAAGAGAAAAGTTCCACACTATTCAAGAAACTAGTATAATCCCACAGTATTTAATTTTATTTTTCAGAAGTGGGAATATTGTAGTTTCTACTGGGAGAATCTTTAGAAAGTATATTTGAACCTGTATTGACAGGGATTGATCTGCCGGCTACAGACTGGTGAGCAGTAAGTACTGCTTGGATGTTGGCCTCAATGGTAAAAGTTGCACTTTTCCACCATTAGAAGTTAACATTCCAGCTTTCACACGTGTTTGACTATTTATACAATCACAGTTTTCCTTGTAGAGTACAGAAAATTAACCTAGATAGAAAGACATGGACATGGGATAGATAACCACCCATATTAAGAGGCTTGCCAACATGCATGATTTTAAATTTAAGAGATAACAGATAATAGTAACATATCTATCCATACTGACCCAGAATTGGACTGTTCTTTCTGAAGTTTTGGAGAATTGTTGGAAATTTTGGAAGTAACTGTATCTGCAAGAACGGTTTAAAAGAGCTCTTGACTTCAGCCCTGATCTCAGTCTCCATTTTCTACATCCCGCTTTATATCTACAGTAGATAGAAGAAGCAAATGGATAAAAGAGAGGTGATATATAAATGAGGGCAAATTCTGCAAGGTTTTTTTTATTCTTGTAACTACTAGCAATAACTAGGGGACTTCCCAGCCCCAGGGAGTTCATATCTGAACACCCTGTCCTAGCTAATTTTTAGTGTTGTTTCCTTATCATTAATGATTTGTTTTTATTTGATATCACTGTTTTCTTTATGGCTAAGATTTTACTATATACAGCCACCTGCTCTACAGGTGGTGGATCTTTTGATATTCTAATTGGGGGAAAAAAAAAGATTGATTTGAATGCATTTCTTGATCCTTCCTTCTCCCATTTAAAACATTTTGAGTGCTTTTCATGAACTAATACAAAAAACAATGGTATATTATTATACAATCATTGTGTACTAAATGTTTTCATGATCATAGTTACAATAGTGATCAGTACAATATGACATCATTGTTGGTATAGCACAAATCATAGATTAATGAAAGAAATCGTGGAATGTGGAATGTTAATTTGTAATCTTTCTGTGTTACTAGAATTTGAGCAGTCACTGACTTTCTAGCACTTCTTGCAACATTGGAGGCGAGGGATAAACAAATAGTTTGATTGTTATCATTTTGTTGAAAATTCCCAACAATTTAGATTGTATCCATAATCATTGAAGTGACTGCAGCTGTCCAGATTTTCATATTTTGCCAGTTCTTTTTTCTGAATAAGGCCTACAGCACGTGGTGGAAGTCTCCCAATCTTCTGCTTAGTCTTCAAGATCAGACAGGATTGGTGCCTTTAGTATCAAGGCACCAGATCCTATCTGATCTTGGAAGCTACGCAGAGACAATCTGGTTAATACTTGGATGAGAAACAGCCAATGAATCCCAGGTGCTAAAAGTCATGTTTTAGAGCAGGTGTTCTAAAGCTGTGCTTCACAGAGCCCTTAGGGCTCCACAGATTATAGTGAGGGGCTCCGCAACACCATTCTTTTCCCCACTTCCTCATCTTTCCTCCTCCTGAGAAATGCAGGGACATTAAAGTTTTGGAGGTGCGTTAGTTGTGCTTTTTCTGCATGGTAGAAGAGGGTTGGACTGGATGGCCCCCGGGGTCTTCCACTGAAATACTGTTAAGTTTTTGTTGATCAAAATTGTTCTTCATTCTAAATATTGTATTGTTCTTTCTTTCCTTTTTTTTGCACTGTGTGAATTACTTCACACACACTCTCCATCCATCTGCCACTGGCCCGGCCCATGCTCAGTATATATACATTATATATACTATAATATATAAAAATTTCTTGGGGCTCTAAAATAAACTTTTGCTTCATAAAGGGCACTGTGGCTAAAAAAGTTTGAGAATCCCTGTTTTAGAGAGAGGACCTGGAAAAACAAATTCTTAGTATTACCTCCCTGCTGATAGTTGAACCAGAAAGCGAAATTGAGAGGAACCAAATGAAGTGTCAATGATATTGAACTGGACCACTCCACAATATACTATTTTCTACAGTCCCAGTGACAAATACGTTTATCTAATACAAACATATTTTTTCTAGAAATCTTTCAGGAAATCTGTTTTCATCACTTGCACAAGGAACATTTGATCATCTTACTTCACTGAAGTCACTGTAAGTTTCAATCTGTGAGTGTTGCATGTATGTAAGCCTTAGTAGACTTCCTGCAAAAATTGAGTGAAGAACTGAATTGCATGTCATATTATTTGAAGTCAGTATTGCAGTGGACTTATTAATATTTTATTAAAAATTGTCTGTCTCCATCTAAACTTATATACTGCCATCACAGATAATGATCTTAGTATATGTTAGCTTCAGGCATAATTAGCCACTTGCCTCATTACCTATGACAAAAAAATACCTCCAAGTAACCAGATATAGATGTTGGAGATAAATTCTGGTTGGTTTTTTGTTTGGACTATTGTATAACATTTCATATTTTTTAAAGATTTGAATGAACAAATAGACATAATAAAATGCTTTTATGTTTGTTTATTATGTAGTTGAGTATACGATTTTCCTCTTCATATCAAAAACATATGTCTGTTTTTTGTATGTTCCAGAGAATTCCAGACTGATTACTTGCTATGTGATTGTAACATGTTGTGGATGCAGCAGTGGGTGCAAGAAAGAAATATAACTGTTCGTGACACCAGATGTGCTTACCCAAAATCGTTGCAGGCCCAACCCATTTTGGGTGTTAAACAGGGGCTTCTAACATGTGGTATGAAGAGTGTTACAAATGAAATAATGCAGAATCTGTATAATATGTATTTTTGTTTGTTGTCAAAGCACATCTTTTTCTTTTATTTTCCTCTTAATTTCGTTTATTTGCACCTCTTTTCACTGATGTTGAGCCATTTAAACTGGTCTTGATGGACAAAATCTTGAAGAGGCGTAATTTGTCTTGGATACATGCTTATATGTCACTGAAATATAGAAATACTGAATTGATCCTCGTACCAACTTGAGATGGCAATCATTATCAGATTGGCTACAGTCTAGTATATTCATTGCAGGTTTCCTGAAACATAAGCAAAGCAGGAAGGGGTTGCATACAACAGAATGAGAAGGAGACATGTTTTCTGCCTTCGTGGGGCACTGTGTCAAAGGAAAGTGCTCCTCATTTTGTTTGTTGCAGGATATATAATTTAGCCTGGTAAAGTTAATGCTGTTTCTAGTTATTTGACATGGTGGTGTAATAATTTTATGTTTTGCTTTATTTTTACAATCAACAGTATTAATCCTGTAATGGTGTATTTTCCACTTAGTTTATGGTATTTTTGTTTCATTGGAATACAGGTCCGCCTCTAGAGCTACCATCTTTCTACATGACTCCTTCTCATCGTCAGGTTGTGTTTGAAGGAGACAGCCTCCCTTTCCAATGCATGGCTTCATATATTGATCAGGACATGCAGGTTCTGTGGTATCAAGATGGGAAGATAGTTGAAACAGATGAATCCCAGGGTATTTTTATTGAAAAAAGCATGATTCATAACTGCTCACTCATTGCAAGGTGAGAGTTTGGCAAAGGAGTGAGATTTTCTTAGCCATAGCTTTTAAAAAAAAACAATTCTCTCTTGTCATGTTCCATTATTATTTAGTGTTTATTTGAATTGTCTTCTCTAAAACACTATTCAGAGACATAATTTTACAAAGTTTCCTTTTATATATTAATTCTGTATGCAAAGCCTCTGTCTTCTAGAGCACTGCTTCTTAAACTATGGCTCCCAACCCCAAATTGGGTTCCCTTAGTTAAATGTTGGTCCCGAAAAAATTGGCAATAGTAAATGGTTTCCAAACATCACCAACCCCAAATTGGGTTCCCTTAGTTAAATGTTGGTCCCGAAAAAATTGGCAATAGTAAATGGTTTCCGAACATCACCTAGTGGCTTTTTTAGACATTTACACTAATCGGTTGTGCAATGATTACAGTGAACAAAAGATGCTTCAGCTGTACTTCATAAAAGGGAAATCAACCTGTTTAGCGAGCATTGGGAATACTGATTTATTGCCAGTCAATGTTTGATTTTTATATCTTATTTTATATACCTGTGTGTCTGTAAAAACAATCTGGACGGGGTCATGAGTGGAAATGTTTACTATTAGTGTCTATTTGTCTGTGTATTTTGTTTCTGTCTTTTATTGTTGATATGGTAAGTGGACTAATCGATAAACAGATCTATCTGTCTAACACAGAGGTAGATAATTAGTGGGCCAAAGAAAACTAGAACAGTCTTAAATTGAAGCTTAATAGTATTTCAGTAATGTACACACTGGCATTATTCATTGTGATTGTGTGTGTGTGTGTGTTTTTAAAAAATCTGCAAGAAGTTTTAGTTATTCTTGTTTGGAAATGCGTTATTCCTCCATCTCTGGTAGGATTACAGTCTAATTAATAAGTAGTCTCCAATTTCCTTTTAAATATCTAAGAGACATTTCTAACATATGTACAGAAGCTAAGTTAATTGTCTTTCTGTACAGAATTAGCTTTATATGACTTTGAATGCTGTCCTTGCCTTTTGTCTCTTAGTGCCCTGACCATCTCAAATATTCAGGCTGGATCTACTGGAAACTGGGGGTGTCATGTGCATACCAGACGGGGGAACAATTCAAGGACCGTTGACATTGTGGTATTGAACAGCTCAGCACAGTACTGCCCGCCGGAAAGGGTTGTCAACAATAAAGGCGACTTCAGGTTGGTGTTGACAGCTTTGAAAGGGGATACATTGAGTGTTCTTATAGACTGCCTTTGAGCTCAAGAGTTTCCTGATTCTTTCCAGCTCCGCGATAATAAATAATGGGGCATTGTAGCGCTCAGTGGTGTTAGATAAGAAATGCGGAGCCAAAATCTTCTTCAACCTCCTTGTTAGTAGAAAACTGAAAGATACTTTCACGTTATTCATATTAACAGTATAAATTGAAGTTCTAAATACCTCTTAAGAGCAACTTAAAATGTGTCTGCAATTTAATATAGTTGTATTGATGCACAGTATGTTCCTTTGATCTCAGTTAATTGAAATTTCTAATTTGATTTAATGACACAACATTTGGAAATGTTATTTGTCAGTACTGTTTGTATATACAGTTTGCTAGTACGCCCATTTTTATGAAACAGTTAGTAAGCCCAGTAGACATGTCAACACACTCTAAATTTAAGGAGATTACTTGCTGTTGGAAAATTGTACACACTCATCTTCTTTTGGTACTTATTTCTTTTTTCACCTTTATCCATTTTGATTTCTTTTGCTGCTGGTAACTGTAACAACACATTGCCTCTGGAGGCGCCAGCTATAACAATTAGATCCTCTCTATGGAAGGTAACTCTTTTAAAAAAATGTATGTGTGTTGCACTCTTCAGCAGTATTATGAAGTGTAGTAATATATCAACCATGTACATATGACAGTCATCTGTTTTTATTGATGCTTGTTCACATTTTGCCCCACAACTTTATGTGCATATATATATACAGAACATCACTTCAGGTTTACTTTACTCATGATTCCCTGCATGGATATCACTTCTGTGTGGGTAAACTGCATGCCATAATGTGTGAATTATAGATTACATTCAGTGAAATCTATTGACTTAATTATTAAGGTTCAGTGACACAGTCTTATACCTAGGGCCAAACAAATTCCTAGTTCGCATCTATTAGCATACTGTCCTGCGTATTCTTGTATTAATTTTGGTAAGACACTAATGTTTGAAAAAGGGAGTGAAATTAAAACTGTTTCTCACTGTATATAGTTTTATCCCTGCTTACTTGAGCATTACTTGCTTGAATGACAAAATAAAAGGTTGGCTGTACAATTTGTCCCTGTGGGTGACCTTTATACACTCTGTACAGGCTACTATTCTGTCTTCCTCCTTCAGGTATAGCATCATAAATCTTTCTTCAGCTTGAAGATCATTTCAGCAGGAGTTTGAGATACGGAGTGGGGAAATTTTAACTTTCCAGGGGATTGTCTAAGCCCATGTATGTCTAAGTAGTCTTTTGAATCTGAACCATTGATGTCCTGATCCTTTGGTTTCATCCTTTGCCTGATGCATCCTGTTCCATTTGTATGAATTGTTATTTAAAGCTCAGAGATTAAAGAGTATGAAAAATATTTCAGACAGTGTTCACAGGGAAACATGCATAGAAATGTAAATGATTTTTTAAATGTGTGAATTGTTCATTTTTGGACTAGCAATTAGCAGTAAAAACAGATGGCAAGAGCTTATTTTTTAGCGTTCCTTATTAAATTAACCTGTCCTGCTCAGTCATGCTTTAGTATAATATGATTTTGCCCCTCTGGAATTGGTTGGAAGAAAACAGTTTCTGGAAGCATCATTTCATCAAAAGGTTTGCTAGAGCCGAGATTTCTACAAAAGGTTTCTGTCTGTAGTATAGACAGAGCAATAACAAAGATTTATTTTTCACCTTTTCAGATCATACAGAAATCAGCATTTGATTTGTAAAGGAAATTATTCTGAGCAGATGGCAGTGAATGGACTAAGGAACATTTACCTTTATTGTGCTTGCTCTGGATAGCTAGAGCTTAGCTGGAAGTATCTGTTTTGTTTCATCTTTGAAGCCATTTCACGTTGAAGTAGTAGAATTAAAATGCATCTCTTCTCCAAAGAGAAAAGTAATATATTCATGCAAAAAAAGAAGTACGTATGCATTGAATGTACTTCATTTGTTTTACTCTGATTGTCCTTTGAAATGTAAAAAGTCATAACTATTTGCTCAGCAGTATAGTTTTCTACAGTTGCTTATTACATAGCACATCATACACACAGTAGTTATTTCTCACCATACCAAAATATAAAATAACAAACCAAGTTTAAACAAAACCTTTAAAATTTGTTTTAGTGTTATTGCTCTTTTAAGATTTTCCTGACGTAAAGAGACCTTTTATTTTTAAGTCCTTTCTTTATTCCAGCAGTGGGTCACCAGACACTTCCAGGAAGTCTTCATATATCAATATATTTATCTATACGTCAAAGTATATGTGTATGTTGGTTTGTCCGTTTGTTCCACAAAAGCTCGTACATGGCTTGATGAGTCTGGATCAAACTCACCCTTCATTATCCAAATTAAAGTAATGTTTTGGGGGGAGGGAAGGTTGAACTAAAAGAACCACCCCTTTCAGGCCTAGAGCAGTGGATTGACTGTGACTAGTGAAGGACTGACAATATCAAGTCAACAAAGAAAGATGGCAAAGAGAAGGCATCAGATAAGAAAAAGAAGTGTAAAAATAATATTTGGCCTTCTGTGATGTCACTGAGAAAAAAAAGGCTTGGCTACTCCTAGTGACATGCATTGAGAGAAATGGCGGGAGGGAAAAGAAAGGAAAGGGAGGAGGGAGGGAGGGAAAAGAAAGAAAAAGGGAGGGAAGGCTGAGAAAGGAAGGGATGAAAGAAGGAAGGGAAGAGAGAGAGAAAGAGAAGAGAAAGTAAAGAAAGAAGAGGGGTAAGGTGTATGTGTGGGAAAGCAAGGGAGAAAAGAAAAAGAGAGTATATGAGAGGAAATGGGGGAATAAAGGAAAGAGCCACAAAGAGAGCGTGTCCAGAGTTATCTAAATATTGCCATGGAGACATTGTCAGATAGGTCTACTCAGAGCTGGAGAAGGGAGAAAGTTGGTAAGCAGTGGTCCCAACAACACCCAGGCAACATTGGGTATATATGTTAGTAGGACATAAGGGCAATAATATCCTCTTGTTGTCCTGCCTAGTACTGTATATACTCAAGTATAAGCCCTTTTTAAGCTGAAAAAGCCGCCCTTGGCTTATACTTGGGCGAGGGTCCTGGCGGGAAGGTGTGGGGCTGAAAGAAGGGCTTCTTTCATCCCCATGCCTTCCTATCAGGACCCTCACCTCTCTGCACAGCAACCCATTTCTCCTTCCAATCCTCCTTTCTCGCAGAGCGAGCACCTTCCTCTCCCCCTCTCTCAGCACCAGTCTTCCCTACTTTTCCTTATTCATGTACACACAGCATTTTCCCCAAAATGTGTAGTTAAACTATGGTGATTATTGAAAGGATACATAAGCACATTTACATTGAAGAAGGTTAGAATAATGGTTTAGAGTTGGACAGTCTTATCTTAAATTACAGTTTTATGTAAATATTCAAAACAATTAACCTATAAATAATAATAATAATAATAATAATAATAATAAACTTTATTTATACTCTGCCACCATCTCCCCCAACGGGGACTTGGGACGGCTTACATGAGGCTAAGCCCCAACAACAGATTACAGCAAAATAAAACCAAAAACACAAGCTACAAGCAACAACATCATAATTACATAAAACATATAAATACATTAGCAATATAAGATTACAATAAACACAATCACAGTGACAGTGGGCGGGCCACGTGTGCAGAATAAAATGTTAAAAAACCTGAGTGAGATAAAAGGAGGAGCAGGTTATTTGCAGAGGGGAGCTCATAAAAACGGGGTTGTGGAACCAAGCTTTCCCACAAGGGGGGGAGGGGACGTGTACTCCAGTGACAGAAACGTTGAGGGGAGCAGTCGTGTAAAGTTGTGTACCTACTCACCAAAGGCGCAGCGGAAGAGCCAGGTTTTAAGGTTCTTTTTAAAGGTTTCTAGAGTAGGGGCTTTCCTATTCTCTCCAGGTAATGAGTTCCAGAGTCGGGGGGCCACAGAGGAGAAGGCTCTCTCCCATGTGCCCAGAAAACAAGCTTGTACCTACTGATGTCTCAATTAATGTAATTTTATTGGTATCTATTTTTATTTTGAAATTTACCAGTAGCTGCTGCATTTCCCACCCTTGGCTTATATTCGAGTCAATAAATTTTTGTGGTAAAATTAGGTGCCTCGGCTTTTATTCAGGTTGGCTTATACTCGAGTATATGCGGTAATAGGTATTTAGCATTACACATCCTCTGATTGGGTCCACTCCACCTATTGTTGTAAAGTAGGTACTGGTAAATCTGTTCTCTCTAAATTTGTATAATGCCATTTAAAACCATGTTTTGCTTTTGTTGATGGTGGTAGTTGCTGTCAAGTCTTAGTTACAGTGATTCTATGCATTAGAGACCTCCAGGTTAACTTGTACTGCTCAGGTCTTCCAAGTTCAGAGCCATGGCTGTGTTGGTTGATTCTGTCCACCTGTAATCTTCCTTCTCCTAGGTTTTTTTTTTTTTTTTTTTTTTTTTTGCCTTAGCAAGCATTGTTGGCTTTTCTAATGAGCCCTTACTATTATCTTCTGGCAAACAACATATTTGGTTGATGGTAATTCTGACTGATATATAGGCCAGGATATATAGGATATATTCAGCTGTTCCTGTGAAATGTCTTGTCCTGTGAGATTGACTATTTTACTCCCTCCAGGATGCCTTTTAAGTAAAGCTGAAGTGTGATATTCTGGCAGGCCTTCTGTCGACTTGGTGTTTGCCTGATTCCCTGATGCTGTTTGGTTTTTTTTATATGTATATTTTCTGTTGCCTTCTGTCATTTGCTGTGTGTTAAATATTTTTAAAATATTTTTATTGATTGTGCAGTGGCATACGCCACATTGAGTGCTTCCATTCCAGGAAGTAGGGCAGGAACCCAATGTTTTTAATAAATAACGTTGCAGTGAATTTTATATGCTATATTTTTACACTGTTTTTGATGTATTGCCCATCAGTTTGATTGGATGACTGCTAAATTACAGTGTTACTAAAATAAACAAACACTTCAGTGAGTTCATTTTTGCCATTTGTCTTTGATGATGATAAATGGAATCTTTTTCGAGTACTCCAAAGTCAACTTAAAATACATAAGACATATATTTAATGAGGCGATTAAAGTGGCTGTTTAAATAATTGGCAGGTTACAACAGAGCAAGATAGAACTTGCTGTAAGTCTGAGAACAGCCGTTAACAACAAAAGTCAGATTTCTGTCAAATTCTGAAGTGATTGGAAAAATTACCAACATGTTTCATACTACTATAATTATTACAGCTCCATCTTAAGGAATCTTGGATGTTGTAATTGGAACTCTCTGCTTGAGAGCTGTATTTCAATCCTATACTGCAATTCCCAAGGTGCCCAGAGAACAGAGACATGGAGGATTTTCAACTTAATTCTGTAATGCATATAGGCGCTTAGTTTCAACTTTTCTCTGTATAACTTTTATGGATAGTATATTGGAACATGTTCATCCAGTATTTTAGCTAAAACCTACATATTGTTTTCTGTGTAACTCCTTTTATGGCTGTAAGCCTCCAGTAATTGTTACATCCTTTTGGGTATAAACAACTGTATATTTATTCCACCAGGACACCTTGGTTCATAATTACCAAAGTAATAGTTTTGGTTGAAAAATAAATTATAGCCTCCTTAAGTCTCGTAAATGGAGCAGAGATGCAACTCGTGACTCTCCAAAGTCAGCACAATCCTATGCATGTTTGTTCAAAGGTAAATTGCACACAGTTCAATGGGATTTACTTTCACACTAATACATGCAGATAGAATTACTGGCTTGGATTTTTAAAGGCTCCATTTTAGATGCCTCATCCTGCTTCCAAGCGTTATTAGTACATTTTTCTTGGTCCCAATACTCTTAATGTGTATTAAAACAAAAATAAGGGGAGGGAAATGGAGATTTCAGGGGGGAAATTTAATTAAATTTCTGTGTTATAGCATTGAGAGAATAAAATATTTTCTACTGAATTTTAGAGCTTTTTAACATAATCCCGTGAATATTGTTTGTCCTGATTTTGTGAGAAGTCATGAGGGTTTGATACTTTATTTGACAAGTGGAATCATCATTCTGACTTGAATTAAAATGCTGACTCATATCATGTTTATTAAATTATGGAATTAGTGAGAGATGAATAGGATAAAACCTCTTCTGAACATCAAAAGCAGTATTTTAATATACCTTCTTATTTTCAAAGACATAGGGCGAACTTTATGTGTTACTTGTTGCAATCTTTTCATACTGTAGTTGTGGTACCATATATTGATATATATATATTTCCAAGAAGTCCATTTCACTTAAAATCAAGTGTCATGGATGTGGCCCAGTATAATCACCTTTTCCCACTGCTCCTGTAGTTACCAGAAAATCTTCCTAAAGAATGCCCAAAAAGTCCCAAGTTTTAAGTAACTGGTATTTTTAAAAAATGAATTGCATGCCTTAACTCCTCTGAACAGTATCCTGTAGGTTAGGGCTTCTTAAACCTTTTCCACCCCTTCCTGCCTGAGAAATTTTTATGTGGTCTTATGATTTAGGTATAGAAAATAGGTATAAAAACAAATCATTTACTGACAGTAAACCAGCATTTGCAAAGATTGCTAAACAGGCTGGTTTTCTCTTTTGTAGAGTACAACGGATGCATTTTCTACAGAATCAACTATGAACACTGCATATTGCTGCTAATAGGTTCATGTAAATTGGTGGCATTCAGAAACCTTTTATTGTTGCCAGATTTTATTACCCCAATATTAAATTAAGGGGACTCCATTTGGGGTCAAGACCTCCGGTGCTTTAGATCATTTAAATAATGAAAAATGTTGTTCCAAGTCTCCATTTTTGTTTGTTTTGTTGGATTCTACTGCCACAGATGCATTTCAGTCCAGGCTAGGGAGTCTCCTTTGTTGCTGCCAGTTGCTTACCTTGATGTTAGGAGATCAGTTGCCAGGTATTCCATGCTAGTCATAATTTCTCAGGAGAAAAATGTTAACTTGAAATTGTGAGCAATAAATATTGGTGAAAGTAGAACCCTTCTCAAGGATTGCTTTTTTGTTTTTTTGTTGTTGTTTTTTTAAAAAAAAAACTAGAATTGCCAAATTGTAGAAGTGTTTTAACAGTAGGATGCTGAAATGAGGACATTATAACATTTAATATCACAGAGCCCAATGGTGCTAAGGACGGTCCAGTGTCATCTTTTTATATTTCGTAGACATGTAGATTAGATTGTAGTTTTTGTTGAATAGTTCTTAGTTCTTTTGCTAGTATTTTTGTGATAGCTGTGTACATTTCTCTGATTTATTTTATTGTATTTTAATTGTTTGCCTTCTACTCTTTAGGTGGCCCCGAACATTGGCAGGCATTACTGCGTACTTGCTGTGCACTCGTTACTCAGCTGGCAGTGGAATATATCCTGGCAACTCTCAGGATGAGAAGAGAGCTTGGCGCAGATGTGATAGGGGAGGATTCTGGGCTGAAGAGGATTATTCTCGTTGCCAATATGCAAATGATGCCACTCGAGTCCTGTATATGTTTAATCAGGTTATCCATGCTTTCCCTCTGTTTTGTAGAATTGTTTACAAATAAACTCTGGATGGTTTTTCAGGCAAACTTCGTGAAGAATGTATAAAGGTTTTGAGGGGACACAAATTGCCCTTTGTTATAAGAAGGAGATACTGGCAAAAGCCAGCTGTACATGCAGTTAAAGAGAGTTTTACTTGAATGACAGTATGGCTAGAATAAGGCACATCTTCTTGATAACGAAGTTCTTGTATTGAAAGAATCCTCAGTCCGTTAAGAAAATAGCTTGTTAGATACTTTTTTGTTTGGTGTTGCTCAACAAATATTAATATGGCAGTAGGATGGAATTAATAGTGAAGATATGCAGAAATGACATATATTGGAGTTCTACCGATTTTCCTATGCAGAAGACAGGAAGACAATAGTGATTTGAGTGTTTGACTATGACTCTGGAGAACAATCCTCAAATTCTCGCTTAGCCATTAAACTTACTGGTGACCCTGAGCATCCTTAGAGGAAAGAAATGGCAAATCTTTTCTGAAGAAATCTTTTCAAGAAATCCCTGTGATAGATTCACCTTAAGATTGCCCTGGATCGGAAATGTCTTGAAGGCATATAACAACAAAGAGTTTTTTTAAAAAAAAAAATACAAAGTACTGCACCAAGATATGAAAACTTAAAACCAATTGAGCCAACTTTTATGTTATTATAATATGATGGGGATAGATACTGCTAATGGAACAGGATCATAGCATTTGCTCTTTCTACTACAGGACATTTGGTATTAGCTAACAATGTGATGAAAGAGCTCTTTCTGAGATTTTTAAAAATTAAAATATATATTCTTGTATAAGGTCAACCTATTGTATAAATTAAGGGCAAGTTTTGGGACCAAAATTCCAGATCTTGACTTGACCCATGGATAAGTCAAGGATCATTCTGCAAAGAGGAAAATGCTAGTCACCACTGGCCACCACCATTTTCCCACCTAGGCATGCAAGGAGGACAGAAGTAGCGCCGAGGCAGAAAGACTAGGAAGGGACAATGCTTCTTTTAGGTTCTCCAGAGACAGTCTGAGATCTTGCCTTTTGGTACTCTACCCAGAGAAAGGAATGGTTACTTTTATATATAGGAGTTTCTTACACTGAGCAATGTATAAGTTGACCCAAGATTTTTGGGGCGATATTTTACTAAACGTTCCAATGTTATGCATGAGTATATACAGAAATGTAAGGCTTTAAAACAAATACCATGTTTGTACATGACAAAGTAAACCCAACACAATTTGGCATTAACTAATCCATGTCTATATGATTTCACTGTAGTCATAATAAAGCATTCTGACTTTATATAATTTTTACAATGTTGTGTGTTCCATATAGATGCCACTGAATCTCACAAATGCTGTAGCCACAGCTCGACAACTACTAGCTTACACTGTTGAAGCAGCAAACTTTTCTGACAAAATGGATGTAATATTTGTGGCTGAAATGATAGAAAAATTTGGAAGATTTGCTGAGAAATACAAAGAGGTAATTATTTTTTAGTTCTAAATATTTTTTTAATGTTTCTGCTGAGGCTAAGCAATGTTATGAGTTTATTTCCAAACAATTTTATTTGAAATTTCTTACAACTTATACTGAACAACTAAATCAGAGAACTCTCATCATAGAATAAGTGCTGTAGGCTATATTTCAGAGGAAGGAATTGACAAAACCACCTCTGAGTCTTCGTTGCCTGAGAAAAACCTGGAAAATTAATAGGGTCACTGTAAGTCGGCAAACAACTTGAAGGCACATGCACATAAACATCTCCCTTTAGTAAAAAGCTTTCCATTTCATTCTTGAACTTTGTCTTCCTTTTTATACATTTGGAGACCGCTGTGCACCAACTAAAGTAAAAAGAGGCTCAGAAATTAAGTTTAAAAGCATCAAAATCATTTTTAAAGTCATGTTGACAAGCTCTATCTTATTGCAATTTTACCAAAAATGTTTATGGAACAGTCTAGATACTTCATTAAGTGTATAATTTAATGTGACCTGACATATATGTAGGTCGTGGTTTACTAGTAGATTTATAACATCATAAGGATGATGTTTAACTAATTTTTACTGCTATGATGTATGGTATTCCCGCTAAGATAATCTGAAACTATTCTGGCACAACTATAGCACTGTCAGACAAGTATTCATGAACATTGTTTGTCATAGTAAAGTCAATGTGATAATAGGAAAAAAAGTTTTAATATTGCTTTGTAAATAATCCAGGACAAAGAGTTTCACTGCTGAACAGCTCTCACAGTTAGGAAGTTCTTCTTAATGTTCAGGTGGAATCTCCTTTCCAGTAGTTTAAAGTCATTGTTCCGCGTCCTAGTCTCCAAGGCAGCAGAAAGCAAGCTTGCTCCCTCCGCCCTATGTCTTCCCCTTACATATCTATATATGACCATCATGTTTCCTCTCAGGCTTCTCTTCTGCAGGCTAAACATGCCCAGCTCTTTAAACTGCTCCTCATAGGGCTTATTCTCCAGATCCTTGATCATTTTAATCGCCCTTCTCTAGATACATTCCAGCTTATCAACATCTCCCTTCAATTGTGGTGCCCAGAATTGGACACAGTATTCCAGGTGTGGTCTGACCAAGGCAGAATAGAGGGGTAGCATGACTTCCCTGGATCTAGACCTATACTCCCAGTTGTGCAGGCCAAAAATCCCATTAGTTTTTTTTAGCTGCCGCATGACATTGTTGGCTCTTTTTTAACTTGTTGTCCATGAGGACTCCCAAAAATTTTTTCACACGTACTGCTATCAAGCCAGGCCTTCCCCAATCTGTATCTTTAATTTCATTTTTTCCTGCCTAAGTGGAGTATCTTGGATTTGTCCCTGTTGAACTTCATATTAACCAATGTGAAAGAAAAAAGAGGATTTGCAGAGCCTGAAAGGCCAACCATTTGGGTCTTACATCAGATTCCATGCTCCTGCTGGACCATGGCATATATTGTAGTTTATTTGCATAGAAATATAAGCAAGAATATTACCTTTAAGAGTTTTCTTCTCACAGTCTATCTTTTAATAACAGGTCCTATCAGAACCAGCATACACACCAGAATATCTTAAATTCTCAAGTCTGTTCTAATATGATTTCAGGAATGTCTGTTCCGGCAATTACTCTTCTAAGGAGGAAATCAAGCTTTTCTAATTCAGATTGAAACAGAGAGACCTGATTACAAATTATTAGGAGAGTTTGATTTCTGTCTCAGATGATAGACATCTGTAACTGAAGAGTTGATTATAAGCCTGAGGACTTCTGTATATTTCTAGGGACACAATGATCCCAGAATCTGTATGTGAATATATGCTAGATTAAAAATAAGAAACACAACTATTAAAAGTAGTAATGTGTACAGTACAGAAGTGGATGTGAAATATAAATAATAGATCTGATACAGAACAGTTGATATAATTGAAATTTACATTGCAAATCTGAAAGAAGGTTGGCTATTTTTTGTATGGGAATTAAAGTCAACAAGATTTTAACAGGTAAGTTTTACTATGTATTGCTTTGGAAACAGTAGTTCTAATGGAATTGTACAGTGGAGGTACCGAATGTTTTGAAGGATAGATGGGTAAAATATTTGGGTGGGTGGAAGTTTATTTTTTAAAGAATATTCATATATAGCAGATACTACAAAAGCACAGATGTCAACCCTTCTGCTTTCTTTCTGTACTAGCTTGGCGACGTGATGGTTGATATTGCAAGTAATATAATTCTTGCTGATGAACACATCTTGTGGATGGCACAAAGAGAAGCTAAAGCGTGCACTAGAATTGTACAGTGTTTGCAAAGGATTGCTACGTACCGGCTAGCAAATGGTGCTCAAGTTTACTCAACAGTAAGAATTGACACTTTTTAATTAATTATTTGAACTTTAGAGTTTCTTTTCTTTTAAAAACTTCACTTCTAAGTTACAATTGACATTATTTGGAATTTTGATGAGAAATTTCATATTCTATCCAATCACTATCAATTTGTAAAGACATTTCTCTGGTGACTATATATCATTTGAAGAGCAATAGCTGTATTTACAGGAGAACATTTTACTTTTTTATTTCTACAGTATTCTCCCAATATTGCTGTAGAAGCCTATGTAATTAAGAGTTCTGGCTTCACCGGGATGACCTGCACTGTATTCCAAAAAGTGGCTGCAGCAGACCGTATAGGAATTCCTGACTATGGGCGAAGGGATTTGGATGGAGGCCTTGATAAACAGCTAGGCTTTAAGTGCAATGTTTCAAATACATTGTCAAGTCTGGCACTTAAGGTAGGTGAGTGAGAATGCCACATTACTGGGAAAGCGTTTCAGCATCAAGGGCTGCTTGATTTGAGTTGAGGAAAACATAGCTGTACTTATTAATCAAAATATTTACATCCAACCCAAAGCTATCTGTACTGTACAATACAATAATGTTGAACAATTGAAACTTTTAAAACAGTAGACATGTTAAACTAAGTGACAGATTAAGGCTACTTAAACCCTTTATTATTATTATTATTATTATTATTATTATTATTATTATTATTATTGTTGTTGTATCCAGCCCCATCTCCCCAAAAGGACTCAGGGCGGCTTACAGGGCAACACGTGCAAAGTAAAATACATAAAATATACACAAAAAAATCAATAAAACACAGAGTAACAAAAATTACAACAAACAGAAATTAATATAGAACATAGTCATTAAAATGAAATTACAATAAAACACAACAATAGATTGTAGTTAAAAACAAACTATACAAAAAATAGAGGAGGTCTGTAGTTATTTAGTTATGTATGGTATAGAAATATATATGGTAATTTCCAGGGTATTTATTTCCCAAGTAAGCAGTATTATTAATGCATGACTTAATTTTTCACAAAAAGCGTGCAGGAATTGCGGAAACATGGTCTCTAACTGAAAACACAGTCTCTACAAATTACCACCTGACCAAAACTCTTTTGTGCAAATTCAGAATAAGATGCTTGTAGTGGCAGTTTTTTACTTAACAATTCACTGTGCACCTCATTTCACTTCTAAGAAAGAAAGCATTTGTTTAAGGGATATCCTAGAATAATATCCTTCTGTCATATTTCAGGGGGTAAGTGTCACTCCCTCCCAAAGTTCACTGACATTCTTATTTCAGTCAGATTCATTACAATATAATTTTCACTGTCTAGTAATAATTGCTTGCCAAACTTTTCATAGTTTGGTTAATTTTTATAGATTGAATTGGAATATGTGAAAGACATGGCTGCATATTCCCCTAACTTTGTAGACCCCCCCCCCCCCTTTGTTGGAAACTAGGCAAGTGAGGTTTATATATCTGTGGAATGTCCAGTCTGCCTAGCTTCCAACAGATCTTACAAGGTCTGAGGATGCCTCCCATAGATGTGAGCGAAACGCCAGGAGAGAATGCTTCTGGAACATGGCCGTACAAGCTGGAAAACTCACATAATCCCAATTAATCTTGTTTGTTTGTTTTTGCTTATAGAACACAATTGTAGAAGCCTCCATACAGCTCCCACCTGCTCTTTTTCCAAAAAAGCACAAAAGAGAAATCAAGCCTGTAGATGACACTTCCTACAAACTTCAACTTATTGCATTCCGTAATGGAAAACTTTTCCCAACAACAGGGAATTCAACAACTTTAGCTTCTGAATCCAAACGCCTTAGTGTGGTCACACCAGTTATCCTCACCAAAATAGGTTTGTTCCCCCCCCCCCTCAAATTATGCCTTAATTTAGTTCTGTTTTGTTATAATAGCATGTCTTCCCTCTTCAAAGTAGTTGCTTTAACCATGCATAAAAATAACATTCCTTTTCTTTGTTTCTTTATAAACAACAAGATGGCTTAACCGTAGCCCATCAGGACATTCCTATTAATGTGACGTTGCGTCGAATTGCAAACGGAGCACATGCTGTTGCAGTCCAATGGGACTTTGATTTACTGAATGGACAAGGAGGATGGAAATCAGATGGATGTCAGATTCTTTCTTCAGATGAAAATGTTACAACTATACAGTGCTACTCACTCAGTAATTATGCTGTCTTGATGGTATGTGAACTGATTCCCCCCCCCCCCCAAAAAAAAGTTCTGTGTTGAATGGATTTTCAGTAAAACTGATACATTTTTAAACCCGAAAAACATACAAATATTAAAATAGAATTAAATATTAATAGTAATAAAAATAAACCATTGAAACCTTTAAAATTGATTCCATTATGATTTCTAGATGTAATATCTATAACAAAACTTTATTTCTATCTCGCCACCATCTCCCTGAAGGGACTCGGGGTGGCTCACACAAGTACTCCAAAGTGCCGTACACATAAAATGCACAATACATAAGCATAAAACTATGACAACATAACTTTACACAGCAATTTCATGCAAAACATCACATAATAAAATTTCATAAAACGCAGCAGTACTTGCGACTAAAAATGGTTGTCTTCGGTATCAATCCAAAATGCCGGAGTGAAGCAAGTCACTACGTCCTCTGATCTAACCATTGAAATTTTAATCAAAGTCAAAGGCCAGTTTAAAAAACCATGTTTTCAGATTAGACTGAAACACTTGGAGAGTGGGGATTAACCCAGTCTCTCTAGGGAGGGCATTCCAGAGTGAGGAGGCCACAACCGAGAAGGCCCTCTCTCATCCCCACCAACCGTGCTTGTGATGGATGTGGGACCGACAGAAGGGCCTCCCCAGCAGATCTCAGAGCCCACGCCAGTTCAAAGAAGGAGATGTGGTCTCGAAGATAGATTGGACCTGAAGCGTATAGGGCTTTATAGGTAATAATCTGCATTTTGAATTTGGCCCAGAAGCTTGTTGAAAGTCAGTGGAGCTGCTTCAATAGGACCATAATATGCTCACTATAACTACCCCCAATTAGTAATCTGGCTGCCAGTCTTTGCACTAACTGCAGCTTCAGAGCCATCTTCAAAGACTGCCCCACATAAGAGTGCATTGCAGTAGTCCATTCTAGATTTAACTTGAGCATGGACACCATGGCCAAGTCAGGTTTTTCAAGGTACAGTCGCAGCTGGCGCACAAATTTTAACTGTACAAAGGCCCTCTCAGCCACCGCGGATACCTGAGCTTCAACAATGAATCCAGGAGGACCCCCAGACTGTGGACCTGTGTCCTCAGGGGGAGTGTAACCCTGTCAAGCACAAGTTGCCACCCTATACCCCAATCTACTGGTGCTTTTGCAAATTTAAAGAGTTACTGTACTGCTAAAGACACTGTTAAGTTGCATATATGCACGGTCAAACGTCCAACAACTGGTAATTTTTAGCAGCTTATCTCAGCTCAAACTTTGGAAGTTTGATGGGAGCCCCTTCCCCACCTTTTTCCTTGAGGTTGCCAACAGCTTATATTTAATTATGACATGTATATTTGAACTGCTGGCTGATAATCTATGAGGACTGAATCATACGACTTCCTTCACTGTTAATATATTTCACATGAATCATGATAATACAGGAGATAAGAATTTTAAATCATCCTCACAATAAAAAAGCAATGTTACAGTAACATTCTGTTTTTTAAAAAATATATACATAGTTCAATTAGCGCTTAAAATTCAAGTTTTCATTACAGAGCTATCATGGAATGTTCTGTTGTTATGTCTTTGGATATTCAATACCCATGAAATTCAAAGTGTATACTTAATCTTTCTATTAAGATATTCAGTATATGATGCCGTGGTCTGTGAAGCCCTTATATAGAAAGAGATAAAATAAAAGTTTTTTGAACAGTTGATGTTGGTAGGTATTTTTAAAAAGTTAATCAGTTTAATCCCAGAACTGAACACTCTTATTCTTTGATTCTTACAATTACTTCTAATCCTTCGGTAGAAAGGAAGAGCCTATTTGCTTAAAAAATTATCTGCAGTTTGGCATATAGTTAAAGAAGGAGTCCATTTCAAGTAAAGTATAACTGTGCCACCTGGAGGAACAAAAATAAACATTACCCTGTCTTCTCTAACAGGGCTTTATTCAGATGAATGGATTTAAGCAAGCATTCTAATTTTGAGAGAGATTCACAGCCCTCCAGACTAGCATTTTAAATCTGGCAACTGCAATTTTGTCCATGGGGTCTTAGTAATTCCTCTCTATCTGCATTATGACCCACTCTTCAGTAACTATGATTCGTTCTCTTCCTTGGATCCTGACCAAGAAAACAAGCACTGCAAAGCAATAGTTATACTTTATGGAATGTAGAATGTTTATCTAAAACTTTGTCTACACCCCTGAACAACTTTGGAGGGTTATAATGAAATTTCTTAATTTTTAATTATTCTTAAAGTCAAGGTATTCTTAAACTCAAGAGAAAATACAGATTGGACTGATGTTGTGTATTATGCTATCTTGTCTGTCAGGACTTATCTGGACACATCCAGTCACTTGACAGTCTACACCCAGTTATCTATGTGTCTGCTGTGGTTCTGCTGATATGCCTTTTGGTGATAAAAGTTAGCTATATCTATCATCACAGGTAAGTTAAGTCTGAAAATACAATGGAACCAAGTAATGTTTAGTCAGATTGCTGTGAATGGGCAGCAGCAATTCTTTAATATATATATAGCATGTCATAAGCTTGAACAGAGCCGCCCCACCACCTAATTGTGTTAGAATAATAATAATAATAATAATAATAATAATAATCTTTATTTATATTCTGCCCTATCTCCCCAAGGGGACTCTGCGCGGATTGCAACACATTAAAAAACACATAGAGGCAAACATCTATTGCTTCACCACAAAAGCAGACAAGGATACAATTAACACCCATCCATTCCCAACCCAATCACTGCAAGATTACACAGAATCACATTAAAAGGTTGACTTAATCATATTAATTCAGAACAATTCAGTGGCACTTTTTCTTAAACCATTAGCTAACATCCACTGCAATAGAACCTGGTCACGTTTTTGATATATATATCAACTTGTAAAGCACAGCTTCAATAATGCTAAAACATTCACTCCTTCTGGACTGGAGGGATGCCTGTTTTTGGAAATCACCTAAATGAGCAGTTCTGATTTGGACGTCACTGGTCCACATCCCATTTTCCAACATAATTGTGACATAGTCTGTTGATTGAATTGATGGATATGAACTTCTCACCCCTCCTCTCTAAAACAGCCTCTCCAGCCCCCTGAAAATTTGATTGACTCAAATTATTAGGAAAATTTGCTGTCCCAAGGTGAGCTGTGATACAGTGGAGAGGGAATTCCCCAAGGTTGACTTAGAGGCAGCTTCTGCAAGTGCTACAATTCCATCTATAGAAGGCAGATCCTGGATTCAGTTGGAAATTTTACTTCCCTGCATATTGGCAAGAAATGGAGAATCATAGAAAAGAGAATGTATTTCAGCAGCAGCAAAATAAACACTCAACTATTACATTAGGTTAGAAAATTTCAGATAAACAAACAAATTCATTTTACAAGTACAGTGATTAAAAATCACAACTTAATTCAGTGTGGAATTGCTCATATATAAACATTAGGTATGTTTTGACCATAATTTCAGTTGTCCATGGTGTCATATTCTCTTTCTTACATATGCATATGGAAAGAAATCTTACCACATCTCTCACTCACACCTCCCAGACACAGTAAAACCAAAGGGAAAGAGTAATTCTCACAACCTCTGATGATGCCTACCATAGATGTGGGCGAAACGTCAGGAGAAAATGGTTCTGGAAGATGGCCATGCAGCCCAGAAAACCCACAGCAACTCAAAATAAATGTTATTTGTAAGCAAAATTGAAATTGATTGTTACAAATAACAAAAAATGAATTGTTAGATTTCGAGAACAGACTTCAAATAGTCACTCAGTAAAATAAATTCTTCAGTTACAGTAAGCAATCATACCCATACCAAAGATTGCAACCAATGAACATATGATATTATTATTATTATTATTATTATTATTATTATTATTTTAAATGTTTATTCTACCTACCCTAGATTCACAGAAATCTAGTCATGACTAGCAAGTTTGCCCAACAAGTCCCATTCACAAGACTTGTTCATAGATCACTGAAAGTGTTTTTGGTGCTTGTTCTGTATTAGTATTTTTATATTTATTTACTTAAATCTCCATCAAGCTGCTTGTCTTGAATGTTTTGGCTATAAAATATTTAGATATATTTATAACACGTTTGTAAAATTAATGTATTTGGTATTGCTTATTCCACCTTGATTATTGAATTTCTCCTATTATCTGGGCTACTATTAGTATGGTATATTAGCATAGCAGGTTCTTGGGAAACTGTCCAGCAAAACTGAAACTTCTCTTATCAATTTTTTATTAAGTTTTATACGATTACAACGAAAGAGGGGGAATAATATAAGAGAATAGAAAAGTAGGAAAAAATAGAAAGAAAAGAGAAAAAAAAAATGAAAAGTTCCAAAAAGAGAAAAAAAAAAGAAAAAAAAAAAGGGGATGTCGACTCCCTTCTGATTCAGCTCGCATAATAAGTTCTTTTACTGTATCTATTTATATAAAAAAAAAAACCAAAAAGAAGAAAAATTCCTCAGTTCAAATAATAGTGTTCTATATTGTTTTTATATAGTCTTCGACTGCTGACCAGTTAGTCTCTTTAATTGGATTGCCTGTATTCTTTTTTAATAAAAATGTTAACTTGTCCATGTCCTTTATTTCATTTATCTTGTTAATCCAGTGGGATTTTTCTGGTATTTCTTTCTGTTTCCAAACTTTGGCATAAACAATTCTGGCTGCCGTTGTCAAATATGTGAACAAGATGTCTTCATTGGAGTCCAGTTCAATGTCTCCGTCAACAATTCCCAATAGATAATATTCGGCCTTTCTTGGAAATTTCTTTTTAAATAATTTCTGCATTTCTTCATGAATACTTTTCCAGTACTTTTGAGACTCTCTACAGCTCCACCATTGGTGAAAAAAGGTCCCATCATATTCGTTACACTTCCAGCAGGCTTTCGATACATTTTCATACATACGATTCAAACTTACTGGAGTCAAGTACCACCTATGAAACATTTTCATCCAGTTTTCTTTTAAGTCCATTGCATAAGTGTACTTGAGTTTTTTCTTCCACATTAGTTCCCAATCGCACATTGCTATTGGTCTTTTAAAGTTTTCCGCCCATTTTACCATACAGCCTTTTATTAATTCGGTCTCAGTTGACCATTCTAATAGTTTTTCATATAATTTAGTTATACATTTCGTATCAGTTTTTAGAAAATTATCCCAGAAAACTTCTTTCACTTGGAAGCCTTGTTTTAAATCTTGCATATAGTGTTCCTTTATTTGCATATAATGTAACCATGTGATTTTAGGGAAACTCTGATTTATTTCCGCTTGAGATTTTAATGTCTCTGTGCCACTTTTTAAAAGTTCTTTATATGTAGGCCAGGTTGTCCAGCCCAGTAACCTTCGTTGTTTCGCTTCCATGGGAGAAACCCATAGAGGCGTTTTGGAGTAGAAATTTCTTTTATATTTATCCCAGATTCTAATTAGTGACGATCGAATAAAGTGATTTCCAAAATTTTTTTCCTTCTGTTCTCTTCCATACCAAAGGTAGGCATGCCAGCCTACACGTAAGTCATGACCCTCTAATGTGAGGAGGTTCTCTCTTTTTAAAGCTATCCAGTCTTTTAACCAAATTAGGGCATTTGCATCATGGTATAGGTTAAAATTGGGTAGTCCAAACCCACCTCTTATTTTCTTATCAGTCAAAATTTGATATTTTATTCTTGGTTTTTTACCTTTCCAAACAAATTTCATCAGGTCCTTATTCCACTCCTTAAATTTCTTCAGATTTCTAATTATTGGGATGTTTTGAAAGAGGTATAATAGCTTCGGAAGGACTGACATTTTAATCAGTGAAATTCTTCCCAGAAGGGAAAGGTTTAGATATTTCCATTTCTCTAATTTTTTCTGAATCTCTTTCCAAAGTCTTTCGTAGTTATTCGTAAGAAGTTGAGCATTTTTTGAGGTAATCCAGATGCCCAAGTATTTCATTTTATTAACCGTTGTGAGGCCCGAGATGTCCTTTAGTTCTATTTGTTTTTCTTTTGACATATTCTTTGTTAAAATGACAGTCTTCTGTTTGTTTAGTTTAAAACCTGCCAGTTTCCCGAACTGTTCGATCGTATTTAGCCAGTTTTTAATGTTTTCTCGTGGATTTTCTATTATTCCTATTATGTCGTCGGCATAGGCTCTAGCCTTAAATTCTTGTTTACCGATTTTTACCCCCTTGATATTCTGATCATCCTTTAGGTTTTTCAACAGAATTTCTAATTCCATTATAAAGATCAAGGGTGAAATCGGACAGCCTTGTCTAGAGCCTTTCCCGATCCCAAATTCGTCGGAAATTTGGCCGTTTATTTGTACTTTTGCCTTTTGACTCTTATAGATCTCTTCAATTGCCGTAATGAACTGATGCCCCAAATCCATTTCTTTCATTAAAATTTTGAAAAAATCCCAATTGAGATTATCAAAGGCCTTTTCCACATCAATTGCAAGAAAGGCCGCTTCTTTTTGAGGGTTAGCTTCAAAATATTCAATCATGTCGATAACTATTCTCAAGTTATCTTTCATGTTTCTGTTTGGTAAAAAACCCACTTGTTCCTCCCCTATCCAAACATTTAAAAAAAAATTAGTCTTTGGGCCAGAATGTTCGTGAAAATTTTATAATCCACGTTTAATAATGATATAGGCCGATAATTTTTCGTACGTCGGTGGGGTCTGTTTGTTCCTTATGAATTACTATTATTTCTGCTGAGTTCCATGTCTCTGGGATTACCTGACCTTGGAGTATCCCGTTCATCACTATTTTTAACATTGGCATAAGTTCCTTTATGAAGACTTTATAATACCCTGCGGAGAAGCCATCCGGTCCTGGTGCTTTATTTGCATCCATTTTCCTTATGGCCTCCTCCAATTCCTCTTCTGTAATATCTTTATTTAGGTCTTCTCTTTGGGCTTCCGTAATCTTAGAGATGTTAAATTTGCTTAAGTATTTTACAACCTCCTCTTTTGGAATTTGGTCACAAGAGTACAGTCTTTCATAATATGTTTCAGCAAAACTGAAACTGAATAGTTTACAAAGTACTTTTTTAATGCACAGTATCTTATATATATTAGCATAGCGCGTTCCCAATAATTTAATCTGGTGTATTTGAAACTATCTGGGAAAACTGTTGGTTTTTTGTGTTGGATGGGTAGAAAAAGAAGGAATGGTGAACAAATATTCTGCTACTTGGTTGTTTATATTCCTGCTGCTAATGTTCTGCTGCAACATGAAGATGTTGGGAAGTGTTAGTGATGTTTTCTTGTTTACATGGATTGATGGGCTTACATGAATTAAACCCTACAGTACATCTAAGATTCCTTGACGGCTAAGAGAGACACTGGCAAGAGAGTAAAATTGATATAAAAATGTTCCCCTAAAGATTAAAAGGGTGCAAACCTAATAATATAGCCCATAATGCTGTTTTCAGTTACATTTAGTCATCTCAGATTTCCACCTGGGAGAATCTATTTTATGTCTTCACATGAGATTGTACAATATTTTTAGCATTGATATTTTAAACCTTACTATATGAATTTTAGGTTTACGGCATGTTTCAGGTTAACAATGTTTTGTCTTAATGATATTTGAGTCGGTGTATGAAATACTGTTGTTTTTGTTGTTTAACAGTGTCATCAAAATCAGTCTGAAAAGTTGGCACATGTTAGTTAATCTGAGCTTTCATATTTTCCTGACATGCGTGATGTTTATTGGAGGCATAACCCAGAGCAAGAATGCTAGCATCTGCCAAGCAGTAAGTGAAATGTGTGTTGGGAGAACTGAAGGGAACTAAATTGTAGTAAGTGAATTTAGGGATGACAGTCATTCTTTTGTTGAAACATACAAGGCATTTTCTGTGCATCTTTTAGATTTTTTTTCAGTTACATACTGTATGATCTTCTAGGACAATGCTTAATCATGATATACTTTTCTGGAACTTTGTGTTGAGATCGTGTTTTATTGTTTAAAGAAGCTCAATTGATTTCTTCCTTTAGATGATTTTTTCAACATAGATTTCTCTGCCAAATAATTCCTTAACCCTACAGAGGATGTGACAACATGTTCATGGATGCACACCCAGATTACAGACACATAATAGGTCTTCATGCTTTTATGTTTATACAAAAAGATTAAATAAGTAGTCCTATATTTCATGAAATGATTGAGAAACCTCAAAGCTCTTTGAGGCAAAGTTTCCGTCAACTAATGTATAGAAGATTGGAGAAAAATATATCAAGCAGGGCCCTTCTGATGTTCTTAGAGTGCATCTTCTATCAACCCTTACAATTGGCTATATTAACAACAGCTCCTGGCGTCCTATAATACATCGAGGGCTACAGATTGCCCACTTTCTGCCTCCGAAAGAGAAGAGGAAGGGGAGGAAAGAGCAGGGAGCAAAAGGATAGAACCCCCTCCCTCCTGGCCTACCGACCTTGCTCCGGCCCACCATGCGGCCCCCACGTTAGAAATTTTGAACATTCCTTATCTAGACACTCTCTTTCTATTGATACAGGCCAAAAATCCCATTGGCTTTTTTAGCTGCTGCATCACATTTTTATGTTTAATTTGTTGTCCACGAGGACTCTAGGATCTTTTTCACACCCACTGCTGTTGAGCCAGGTGTCCCCCATTCTGTATCTTTGCATTTTTTTTCTGCCTAAGTGGAGTATCAGGGGAGGGTATCTTTGGAGTTTCGGAAGTAGAAATGGTGTATATACCCTCCCAAGGACAGTGTGATTACTACTGTTCATGTATTACTTACATTGCTACATCACAGGGTTTCTGTTTGCCAGCCTTTTCAAAATTAAAGTAATTTAGCTCACTGATGTTTGAAGAGTTTTCTTAGAGATACCAGATCCCTTCTGATATTGGAGTTAAGTATAGTCAGCCCTGGTACTTTGCTGAAAGCCCACAAATTACAGTAATACCACATGCTATAGGATATATTTCAGAAGAAAAAAAACTAACAAAAATCACCTAAATCACCCTATGAAATTCATGTAGTTACCTTAAGTCACCAAGCATTTTGAAGGCAGTTGTGCATGTACACACACACAAACACAGAGTTGTTGAATAGCTTTTTATGCATCTTATACTTTGTGAATTTTATTATATTTATTTTTCTAAATTCTGCATACTTCATTGGGGGAACCTATGTGAATGCATAAACAGCCAAGAATTCATAAATAAATAGTTTCGAAATATAGAGAATCAGTATATTACTATTTTAAAGGAAGCAGCTGTGTCTCTAACCAACAAGACATGTAGATATTTTGTACTTTGATCTCTGCAACATAGAACAAATTGCTGTATGAAAAATGCCCTTTTATTACTGCAGAGAGATAAAGAGAATGCAGTTTGAAGCAAACTTGAATTGATTCATTAATAGTAAAATGAATAGAGGCCTCTCACAGATTGCAGTATTTCAACGAAATTACAGATTTCCATGAGCTCCTGTTTTAGTTATTTATTTATTTAATCTTATACATTTTAAGAGAATCTATATTCTTTATATTTTGTGTGTGTCATTCTCTTCCTTATCCCAGATTACTAGTTTAGTGACTCATCTTTTCAAGCTGCCTAGTTGTTTGAGAATTAATAAGAAACCTTTAGAGTTTAGCAGACACATTACTTTAGGAGAGTAGTTATTTTGAATGGACAAAAAGCACTTCTACAATTGATGCAGTCTTTCAGATGAGTCCACACTTTTTTACTGCATATGTTAAGTATTCAGTATGCTAAGTAGACATTTTATTTCATGGGAATGTTTTAATAAGTTATCTGTTTTGCAGGTTGGGATAATCCTGCACTATTCTACTCTTGCCTCATTACTGTGGATGGGAGTCACATCTAGGAACATTTATAAACAAGTCACTAAGAAGTCAAAAAGATGTCAAGATCCTGATGAACCGCCACCACCTCCTAGACCAATGCTTAGGTGAGAAATATTTTTCTGCTTTAGTTAGCATGTCAGTAATGGAATTTCTGCTGAGCTAAATAGCACAGTCGGTAAAAGGCTGAGACTAGCATGCTTAGACCACATCCAGAGTTTGAGTAGAAGATCGATTTTTTGTATTTCAATCTTTATTTTTCAGTAGTGTCAACAGCAGCATGAGAAACTATTCTGTCCCATTTCTTTATTTTTATGGTTCAAAAGCTAAAGCAATTTTGGAGATATCATAACGACCTTCAGTAAAAAATGTTTATGGTGGCGTACAATAAATAATAAAGGAGTGACTATATAAAAATGTAGGAATAAATAGCAGAAACAATTAAAATGGTGTATAAAATTACTTAGTCCAGTGACCATGTGGCATTTACAGAAAATAGTTATGTAAAGCATGAAGAACTACACCATATTATCAAATTATGGCGTGTTAATTCTAGCCGGAACAAATTTATACATTTAACAATTTGCTAACATCTTTTATATACAAAATATTGTAAAACATTATATTAAAAATCACAACTATGCATAATTTAGAGCTAACAAACATGCTGAAATTAGCAATACTTTCCTTTAAAAGCCTGCCTGTAGTTTTTTTCTTGTACACCCAAGCTGTCTGTATACCTTATTGGTGCTACATATAGAATTTGTGCAAACACTTATATCTTGACAGTCTTAAATTCTCTTTTAGTATAATGAAAAAGGACAATATAGTTACAGGTTATAAGTATTCCTCTGTAATTAAATGTAGATTAAATGTGAGTCATAAATGTATGTGTGTGTGTGTTAAAAGTGTTGTCCATTGAATTGCTATTTGTATTCCAGTCTACTCTTTGAGGAAACCACTACCATAGTTTTCTTGTAGTTTATATCTTATGCATTGGTTAGAGTTCCGTCTTATACATTATATTGAATGCATTGATTCTGCAGTATTATACCATTTTTTTCTCTTATAAATGCACTGATCCTAGAAGTGAGACAATAAAGTCGTATCATTGGCAAATAGTCCCTGAGTCCCCCCTCCGGGGTTGAGAAGGGTGGGGTAGAAATGCGTGAAATGATAAATAAATAGCTAAATTAATATTGTTGACCTATCAGGGACAATGGGATTCAACTGTATTTTTTTAAAAAATCAGATATAAGTTGAGCAAGATATAAGTTGAGCAATAAAAGGATGAAAACATTGCTGTGTCAAATCCCTCTTATTAGTAAAATAGCCTGGACCAATGGTTTGCGAAAAGCAACATACTGGTGATGATAAACATTGGTCAAGGTCTTACAGTTTGGCAATATTCTGCAGCGTTTTTGTAAATTCTTAATTTGTCCCAAAGTTTGGGGCATGATAGATCAGCATCTGATGCTGTTCTTAAATCAGTGAAAGCTACAATCAGCTTTGTCACCAAACTGTGAACATTTCTCAGCAAGTGGTAATAAAGTTAAGCGGTGATTTATCACTGAGCCTTGGTTTTTGAATCCCATTTCTTTTTCATAAAAGTTCTATTTAATTGTGTTAACCTGCATTTGTCCACAAGGTGGCAGAAACCGACAAGTCTTCTTCAAAACTAAACGGAATTTGATAACGCCGTTATATTCACTGTATTTGATAAATATTTGTTTCATAAACTTATGAAATCACACATGGCAACATCAGTTTGGCATTTTCCTCAGCATTAACCTGATTGTTAGGAGAAGAGGGAATAGTAGCACATCTCGATGCATGGGCACAAGTTCAGAAAATTGGGCATTATGATGAGGACTTTTGCTTGAAACCCTGGAGATTTATTGTTGTTGAGTGGCAAATCAGATAGCTTCCTATATTTCCTGCAAACAGAATGCTATCATATTTGTACAGTGTCCATTTCAACAGAATGTGCTGCTTTGTCCTACTTAATAGTCAAACTTGCAAACAGAGCTGGCTCATATGTTTCCTATTACTACAGTTTCAGAGTCCATCTTGTGAATGTTGGTTTAAAAAGTTGGTAAAGTATACCTCATTATTTTCTGTGTTGTTTTTTAGGTTCTACCTAATTGGTGGAGGGATTCCCATCATAGTTTGTGGGATAACAGCTGCTGCAAATATAAGGAATTATGGGAGCAGACCTCACTCAGCCTAGTAAGTATTGTCTCACTGATGTGCAGTTGGGGAAATACAGGGACTGATACTTTGGTGACCCTATTATAAAGCTAAAATACATTGATGTTAAATGTAAAGTGCTAATGTTAAAATGGATGCATTTCTCAAGATGTGCTTTTTTCTATTGCAGTTGTTGGATGACCTGGGAACCAAGTTTGGGGGCATTCTATGGACCTGCTGGCTTCATTATTTTCATAAACTGCATGTATTTTCTCAGTATATTTATACAACTGAAGAGGCACCCTGAGCGTAAGTTTGAGCTCAAAGAGCCAACAGAGGAGCAACAGCGTTTAGCATCCAATGAACATGGCACTCTGAACCATCAGGATTCAATGTCTGTATCCCTCGTTTCCACCTCAGCTTTGGAGAATGAGCACAGTTTCCATACTCAGCTTCTGGGTGTGAGCCTCACTTTATTTCTGTATGTGACACTGTGGATTTTGGGAGCCTTTTCTGTTTCTTTCTCTTACCCATTGGATTTGGTATTTAGCTGCTTTTTTGCAGCCATATGCTTAAGCCTCAGTGGTTTTCTATTAACACATCATTGCATTAATAGAGAAGACGTCAAACATGCTTGGATGACAGCTTGCTGCCCTGGAAGGAGCACGTACTCGGTACAAGTTAATATTCAGCCTTCGTCCAGTGCAAGTGGGGCAAATGGAGAATCTGCCAAGTGCACCAATAGCAGTGCAGAGTCATCTTGCACTAACAAGAGTGTATCTAGCTTAAAAAATTCTTCTCAGGCTTGCAAACTGACCAACATACAGGCTGCGGCAGCTCAGTGTCCACCAGCCTCCTTGGCACCAAACACTGGTGCCACCCTTGATAATAGCCTGACTGAACACTCAGTAGACAATGAGATCAAAATGCATGTGGCCCCTTTAGAGGTGCCTTTACGGACAAATGGGCACCCTGGTCGCCACCATAAAAACAGGAGTAAAGGACACCGTGCCAGCAGACTGGCAGTCTTGCGGGAGTATGCCTATGACGTCCCCACCAGCGTAGAAGGAAGCATCCAAAATGGTTTACCTAAAAGCCGTCAGAGTGTCAGCGAAGGCCATTCAAGGAGCCGAAGAGCTTATCTGGCCTATAGGGAACGGCAGTACACGCAGTCCCAACAAGACAGCAGTGATGCTTGCAGCAATCTTCAAAAAGGACACTGGAATACCGAAAAGCCAGTGCCCACAAACCTCAAAAAGGATGTGCTGAGGAAACCAATTGTGGAGGACCTGGAAGGGCAGCAGAAGTCCTATGGCTTAAATTTAGCTGTCCAGAACGGACCATTGAAAAACAACACCCAGGAGGGGACGTTACTGAGTGCCGACAGCACAGGCAATATCCGGACTGGGTTATGGAAACATGAAACTACTGTGTAGTATTAGTGGGCCTCCTTGAAAGCAATGAAAAGGAACATTCCTTTAATGCTATGAACATTTCCCCAGTTTACATATGTGGGTACTTTGAACTGGCTTGGGAGTGTATTAGACAAGGGAAATGTAACATGTGAACATATTTTATACTTTTTTAAAGTATATTTGTGCCATTTTTACAAAGACTTGTTCTCTTTTGTGAATCTGCCAATATCAGTTTTCCAATTTTAAATGGAAAATTGGACACTTATTTTTTTTACATGTAATATTTCCTTTCTTGCGGTACGTCCAACACATTTCACTTTCATATTTAAATATGTAAAATAAATAATTTTCTCTACATTATGTATGATTTTGGTTCAGATAGTGAAAAAATTGCAGTTAATGTTGTGTTTACATCTTTGTGCATGTTTTGCTGCTGAAGAAGTCCTACAGCACTTACTTTGGAATGTCAGAAATACCCCATTGACATTAATGGAACATCTGAGTATAGCATTGCACAGCTAGAAGAGACAATTTTTCAGGGCCAGAAAAGGCAAAGAACAGACTGTCCAAACTTCAAATCTGTTGCAGATTCAATTCTGATCTGTTTGGGAATTTGTTGAGAAAATCTTTGAAGATATTGTAATACATGAGCACTGGCTACCTCATTTTAAGGAAGTTACAGGACTGCGTATTTACTGCGTATTTAAGGAAGTTACTGCATATCTTGCCCTCCCTGCATAAGGACGGGGCCAAGCAGCCTCGTCCTTATGCCAGGAGGACAACTCAGGGAAGGCACAAGGCAGCTGAGAGCTCTTAGGAGCACTCAGCTACAACCTGTTTTGCCCTCCTCTCAGCATAATGCCAAAGGACAGCTGAGAATCAGGGCAGTCGATGCATGTCTCGCCTTCCTCCCTGGCATAAGGATGGCACAAGCAGTTCCATCCATATACTGGGAGGACAACCTGAGGATGACCCGAACCCAGCTCTACGCTCTCCTGGCCCTGCTGTCTCCTGGGCTCTCTCTCTCCCAGGGCTGCCATGCCCAGCGTGTGCCCGGCTGTCCTCCCTCCTTGCCCAGCCCTTCTGGTCGGGTTTGCAATGAGGCTCCAAAGCAAAAACATTTGCCCATGCCTTTTATATAACATGTGGATAAATTGTGGGTTAAACGTTAGGAGCATCTAACAAAAGAATTCCCTCTTTTTAAAAACACATGAAGGAAAGGTTAAAGAGAATGAGATGATCTGTTTATTTGAGAGGCTGAAATAAGTGCATGGGCGATATGTATAAATTGAACTTCTCTGATTTTAAAAGATGTAAATCTATACAACTACAGATAAGGAATGGAGCCCCCGGTGGCGCAGTGGGTTAAAGCACTGAGCTGCTGAGCTTGTTGATTGAAAGGTCGCAGGTTCAATTCCAGGGAGCGGCGTGAGCTTCCGCTGTCAGCCCTAGCTTCTGCCAACCTAGCAGTTCGAAAACATGCAAATGTGAGTAGATCAATAGGTACCGCTCCAGCGGGAAGGTAATGGCACTCCATGCGGGAAGGTAACGGCGCTCCATGCAGTCATGCCGGCCACATGACCTTGGAGATGTCTACGGACAACGCTGGCTCTTCGGCTTAGAAATGGAGATGAGCACCACACCCCAGAGTCAGACATGACTGGACTTAATGTCAGGGGACTACCTTTACCTACAGATAAGGAAAGGAATATAAGTGAAGGGGGAAAATGAGAATTGATGCTTGGAAAAAAAATGAGAGGGGAAAACAAGGAAAATGTCCTGCCTCCATTAGGGATCCAATTCAACCCAACATTTAAATGATTTTCTCAAGCAAAATAATTTGCCATATTTCTTATTTATGCATCCCATCAGTAACCCCATAATACTGTACATGTTATTTCCATTATGCAGAGCAAAAAATTAAGGCAAAGTAAGAGAATGCTTATAGACTGCATTTCCTTGAAGGCATGAAGCCAACACAGTGGGTCACACTGATGTTCTCTTAATGGAGGCAATCCATTTCTGTTGAAGTCATTGCTTCCACTAATTGAAGATAATGCATTATCTCCCAGTCCTCCACCCAATCATCCATCAAAACTTCATTTTTAATGACGCAGTTTTACCCAGCTCTAACTTTCATGTCATTTGGTTTGAAAATGGAAAACTTCCTATGATTTCTCAGATTTTAAAACAGCATTAAACAACCTGCTCCCATGTACTCAAGGACAAACTGGGAACAAGTAAGTCATCATGCTTTTATCTTTTCATGGGCCAGCAGCTAAATTCAGAGGTAGAGTTTGGTTTGTTTGTTTTTTATCATTTAGATTCCACAGAAGGGGACAGGTGGGATGTAAATTAAATGAATAAATAAAATCCTGATGCCCCTGTGCTCCTTCTATCATATGAATGACTTTGTTGTTCCCCTGGTGGCATATGATGCTTTAACCATGGGTTGTGTATATTTCAGTATTTAAAAAACATGAAACAATATTTGCTGCCTTTGCATCAACATTTGATTTTGTAAAGCAGGACTAAATTATGAAACAAATTGGCAGGCTTCAAATAATGAGAGAGAGAACTATTTCGGTCCACGTGCTCTCTAGTGATTCAAGTATTTCATTGAAGGAATTGGTATGACTGACTACTATTTATCTAAACTACTGTATATACTCGAGTATATGCCAACCCAAATATAAGTAGGAGCACCTAATTTTACCACAAAAACTAGGAAAACGTATTGACTCGAGTATAAGTTGAGGATGGGAAATGCAGCAGCTACTAGTAGATTTCAAACTAAAAATAGATACCAATAAAATTACATTAATTGAGGCATCAGGTTAAATGTTTTTGAATATTTACATAAAACTTATTTAAGATAAGACTGTCCAACTCTGAATAAACCATTATTTTAACCTTCAATTTAAATGTGGTTATGTATCTTTCCAATAATAGAGTAAAATTAATAATAATAGAGTAAAATAATGAAAATGTAATAACAGTAATAATAAAATAATAAATGTAGTAATAAGAATAAATAGAGTAAAATAAATGTAGTAATAAGAATAGAGTAAAATAATAAAGATAATAATAGAGTAAAATAATAAATGTAATAATAATAATAATAATAATAATAATAATAATAATAATAGAATAAACTGACTCGAGTATAAGTTGATGGGAGCTTTTTCAGCCTAAAAAAGAGGCTGAAAAACTGCTTATACTCAAGTATATGCAGTATATTAACTGGGCAGAAGACAGTGTGTGGTTGGACTCCTTTTGAAATACTGGTTCAATTTCTCTATCACTAGTAACATTTAAGTCAGGGCCCTTCCAGACAGGCCCTTTATCCCAGGATCTGATCCCAGGTTTTCTGCTTTAAACTGGATTATATGAGTCTACACTGCCAGATAAATGGAAAACCTGGGATCTGATCCTGGAATAAAGAGTCTGTCTGAAAGGGCTCTCAGGCATGGATTCTTGTGGCCCTCCAGGCATTGATGAATCACATTTCCCAGAATTCTTTACCATTGGTTGTGCTTCATAAGTGGCCCCCAGTGGCACAGTGGGTTAAACCGGTGAGCTGCTGAACTTGTTGATCGAAAGGTTCAGATTCAAATCTGGGAAGTGGCGTGAGCGCCCGCTATTAGCCCCAGCATCTGCCAACCTAGCAGTTCGAAGACATGCAAATGTGAGTAGATCAATAAGTACTGCTCTGGCAGGAAGTTAACGATGCTCCATGCAATCATGCCAGCCACATGACCTTGGAGATATCTATGGACAATGCCAGCTCTTCAGCTTAGAAATGGAGATGACCACCAACCCCCAGAGTCCAACACGACTGGACTTAATGCCAGGGAAAAATCTTTACCAATGCTTCGTAACTGTGACTGTGCTCCAAATATTATCCTAGGGAAGAAACTTTTTAGTATTGTGCCTTTTCATTCTAGGAAAACATTACAGTCAATTCACTGACATTTTGGAGGAAAAGCAATTTAAAAAAAATATTGTTCAGCTGAATAATATGAGCATTGCAGTTTTGATTTCTCAATTTTGTTTTAAAAAATTCTGTATTAGTGAATTCTTTTTCTTTGTGTTGACTTAGTGGTTAACTACCTTTGGGCCAATATGTGGTTCACTATATAGAAGATTCCTATATGTACTACATTTGTACAGTATTATATTCTGCATAAGGAGATGGCTTTTTATTCCTATACTATTCAGTAGAGTATAGTGGTTTGAATGTTGGACTCTGGGAAACCAGGCTTTGAACCACCAGTAATCCATGGAAACCCATCACATTCTCTCAGCTTTAAGAAGAAGGCTATGCCCTCCAAATAAATATCACTGAGAAAATCCCATGGAAGGGTCTCCATAAATCAATAAACAACAAAAACTCCACACTTATTTATTATTATTTATTTCAGTTGCTTCTACCCCGCCCTTCTCACCCCGGGGGGGGGGACTCAGGGCGGCTTACAAAAGCGAGGCACGATTCGATGCCCGCATCACATAACAGCAAAAGACAATAACATCATTTAACAAAACAGCAATTCTATAAATAACAATTACCATAAAAACAATAATTATTATAGGCAAAAACAACCATAAAACCAATAAAAGCAATAAAAACCCATACAAACCTCCTTGACGGTCAGCGTTTCACAATCTCATAGTTTAAATTCCAATTCCACAATTGTCAGTCCTTTCAGTCCTATCCATCTGGTTTCCATATCTAATTGTCAGGTTGCCCAAAGGCCTGGTTCCACAACACGTCTTTACCTTCCTCCTGAAGGTGAGGAGGGATGTTGATGCCCTGATTTCCGCCGGGAGTGAGTTCTACAAGTGAGGGGCCACCACCGAGAAGGCCCTGCTCCTCGTCCCCACCAGCCTCACTTGTGATAGCGGTGAGGTCGAGAGCAGGGCCTCCCCAGATGATCTCAAATTCCGGGGTGGGACGTAGAGGGAGATACGTTCGGACAGATACACTGGACAGGAACCGTAAAGGGTTAGATCAATAATGATCAGTTAGATCAATAATGAATTCACCCATTTATGACTTTGCTCCAAGAGAGAAGAGGACACTTCCGTACTAACTAATAATGTGTTGTCTCTGCCAGTTGGTTTAAATGTATTGTATTGTTGAAGACTTCCATGGCTGGAATCACTCGGTTGTTGTAGATTTTTTCGGGCTATATGGCCATGTTCTAGAGGCATTAGAATGCCTCTAGAACATGGCCATATAGCCCGAAAAAACCTACAACAAACCAATACATATATTGTATTTTAAAATACAGTTAATAGAAAAGGTCTGGAGTTTTGACTCTTGCAATAATGACAGAGCCACTAGATGGAGCAAGAAG